ATATATATATATATATATAGCGTGCGTGTGTGTAGTTATAAAAAATGCAGTTAAATTAAAGCAATCTAATTTTAGGGTCTCTTAAATCAATATCAAACCTGGTAAGTCATTATCGCAGAAAGTCAGCTTAACCTTTTTTTTTTAAATTGCTGGAGGTGACAACCTTTTTGTAGATGAAAATATCGCTTAATTTTTAAGGCTTAAATATTCTAAATGCTATGTATGTAGTAAAAAATCGTTTAATAAAACCTTACAAATTATCTTTACATATATATATATATATGTATAATTTCTTTAACTAAAATGATGCAAGGAAATAGTAAAAAATAGTCAATCAATTATGTGTTAAATTTACACTACAATCTATTTCTTAGAATAATTTCATAAACATTCAAGTGTTTCAGAAGCCTTTTATCATTTTAGGCAATACAATTCAAATTTGAAAGGGAAAAAAAATCTGTCAGAAATAGAAAAATTCTTTTTGTATAATCACTATACATAGGAATTAGTTAAAGTTTTCCTTCAAAATAAAGTAATATCAATAATAATGTTTCATTGAACTGTGTTCTTTAATCAAGATGGGACTCTTATGCTGAAATTACTTTGGAAATCTCTGAGTTGCTTTACTTTTTCTCCTATTTCAACCTTCAGATCTTCGAGCCTCTTTTCACTCTGTTGAAATAAAACTGCATTCATTCTCTGAATAAATAAAACATTGGAAGAAGAGAAAATGAAGTCATTACCTTTTCTTTTTCATTGAGAGCGTAAGTTAGGGCATTACCTTCCATCAAAATGTCACTTCTCATCAAAAAACATTTGCGATCTGTGACCTTCAGTATTTTTATCATTTCCCTACGACAGAAGAAATTAGATCGTAGAATGCATGCTCTACAATGAAAAATTGACGGTCAACATAACAAAATAGCAATTAAAAAATTGTCTGCCGATCGCCACAATTTTTTGTTGTTGTTAAAAGCGAACCTCTGGTATTGTTTTTATATAATAATAAATGTGTAATTGTTATGAATATTTTTTAATATTCTAAAAATCATTTTATTTCACTTTTGTTTAAGATTGTTCTTCAGTTTAGAATTAAACCCCTTTCATGTTTACTATTTTTTGAGAAATCCCTAATATCTAAAGTTTTTTTTTTAATCTCTTAAAGTTTTTAATTTTTGATAAACTGACCACAGTTGAAAAAGCTGCCGCTGGCTACTCTTTAAAATTTCTTTATTTTATCCTATAAAGCGTTCTATGAATTTATAATCTATACATATGACAAAATAAAGAATGTGTGTATACATGTCTGCATACTGAATAAAAATACAACATTCTACATAAAGCTTAATAAGTGTATTTGTAAACAGATTACGAAGCCCGATTTTCGATTTTTTAATTATTAAATTTTTTCAGATGCGCTTTTTTTTTTTTTGATTTTGCGATACTGTTTTACAGTTTCTATCTTTTTATTGAAGATCTTTTAATACAAAATAATTAATCTTACTTATATATTGTTAACTTTATCTTATGATGTTTTATTTTTCGATAATTTTGCATTTTGAAGCCAATTGCGTAATATAATATGAGAATCCTTTTGTTTCCCGTCTTATTTGCATCAGAAAATAACTTCAATTTAAATCATACACAATGAGCTTTCCACTTTCATTCAAGCCCGTAGAGAAAATTACAAATTTCTGATTCTCACGGCAACCATTTCTTCTACCTTTGATGCCAGATTATTTGGGCCCATGTCCAAGAATTCGTGGGTTCGAACCCCGCCAGCCGAAGACTCCCCATGTAGTTAATGGTTGAGTCGCAAAGTCCTCCATGTTCCCATAACAAATCAATACCTCTTGGGCTACTGATCCAGGAGTTTCCTTGTCTTCTGGCTTAGTTCAAAATTACAAGGCTACGGAGTTGAACATTAGTAGTCGTAAACCCAAAAATTTGGGTCGGCTGTATAAAATAAAGGACGGATATAAAAAGAAAATACAGGTGGTTAAAGATTTGCAAATTTCGATCAAATGATAATCAATAATAATCCTGCATGTCAAATAACCTGTAATTTTGTGTTCATGAAAGTTATTCTAAAAATTGTGGAAAATTTTTAAAGAACAACAAGTCACAAGTTTAAATAGTTTAATTGAATTGCAATATGAATTTTTAAAGAAATAAAAAGTTGCAGATAAACAGCTAGGTTTTTTTCTCTCATTAGCCCCACTGACAGTAACAAGGACACCCCAAGTATTTCCTCCCCCCCCCCAAAAAAAAAATANTCCCCCCCCCCCCCCCAAAAAAAAACATTGATCGACTCACGAAATTGTGCTTACTGTCAAAAATTCGGCGGAAGACAAGAGCCCTCCCTGCAGCACGGCGTAAAATATCGAAGTCTATTAGAGCAAAATAGCTAAACAGCCTCCCAAATGCGTAGAAGACGCAAAAATGCAGATCGAATTTTAAACTGTAAACAGAAATGTTAATGAGTGATTTGGTTTCCCTTCACAGGAAATAGATTTTCTATAATCGAGATAAACTGTAGTGAGAAAATGGTAGAAGTAGTGTACAAAAATGAAATAAAATTTCCTGAACATCAAGTACTGAAAAGGAAAAAAAAAAATTACTTGGGAAGTTTATTATTTCTTTAGTTGGTACTTAATTAGTTATTACGTGGTTCTAGATATATAGAAAGATCTTTTTTGGTCAGTTCGGCTCCTCTTCCATCTTAGTTCCCGGGGCAAACTCTCCCAGCTGTCCCTTAGATCCGTCCCTGACTAAAAGTACTTGAATTAAACCATGATCAAAGATTCAGCCATGCAGATCATCATGGGAGAAAAACAGGGTAGACGTCACAAATAGAAAGGGTATACTTGAAATGCAAAACGCCGAATATAATCAATTATCTCCTCCTTCCCTCGTCGAAATGCGCCGTCGCGCTCTTCAGAAGTCCCTGATAAGAAATACAATTTTTTTTTCTTTTTTTAATGGCGGGCACTTGGGGTTTGTCCCGTTGGCCACAGAACTGCTACTCTCTTCTCGTTACCCAGCGGGCACCGGTAGCGAAGCCTCGGCAGTGGAGCAGCGTCGCACACGTCACACAACCACAAACCCGTTTATAGGGCGGGCCACATTCACACACAAAGGAGAAAGGACATCCATGCTCTGAGCAGGATTCGAACCGCGGCCAATGGCTCCGCAGTCAGACACGCTAACCACTCGGCCACATGGTCGGCATAAGAAATACAATAAACATACGTACTTACCTTCAGCAATGAAATTTGCACTGCAGGCGAAAGACTGGCGTTCATCTTGTGTGGCTGTTGTTAAACTTGCTTGTGCATTTTTATTTGGATACGATTATCACAGGTGATGGTTTCATCTTACTTTTATTTTAATTATTTACTATTAAAAGATACTTTATGGCAAGCGAATTTCTATTCTCACACTTCATCGCAGAGCCGAGATGGAGGACGATGGTTCTAAGACAACGGTGTCTCCAATTCTCCATTGCATTGCATCGGGATGTTTCCCAGACCGTCGCCAATAGCCCATTGTGCAGCTCTAGCGAGACGTAAATGAACAACAACATTTGCGATTATCTCGAAAAACCATTGACCACGAACTGGTAGTTCTATTGGTATTATTACTCCCCCAATTTAAAACCAAGATCATAAATAAATAGGCTGATTTGGTCTCCTTACCTAAGTTCTTCGAGGCGTAACTCTTTTTCGACTACCTTTGCATGTAAGCACCGCACATCTTGTCGCAGTTTTTCGTACTTCTTCAGGATTTCTGAGCGAGATTCATTAAACTCCTGTCTTCCGTCAAAGTTTTCGTTTGACATTTTTATGGTTCAAGTGCCTCGGTTACTAATCGTCGTTTCTTTTTCTTTCAGAAGTAGAAAGGACACGCTTCATTTTATATACCGATTTTCATGCTCATGCGGACTTAATATTATTGAAATTTAATCGCATCATTCGCTTTCTTCTGGAATTAACAACACAGTGGTCTGAATCCAAAAGTCTGAGCGTTTTGAAAAAGTTTTATATTATGTCACTCTTAGCAGTTTAGAGGGTCAATTATGACCAATATGAAGTCAGATATTCATGATTCAGGTTGGTCACTTTTATTAAATTGGTGAAAGGGGATTATATCTGAGGTGATCATTTGAAAGCCTGCTAATAGTGGACTGCTGAACGACTCTATCAGTCTCGATGGTAAGGGCACCACCTGGAGCCTAACCTACTACTAGGGCGATTATCTAAAGCTGTCTGTTAAATGAGATTTTTACCCTGGAGTAGTTATGTGATAACAGCGCATGAGAGGCGCCTTTCTTAGCAAAAGATCAGCAATTTTATTGCGCAGAGGCCAATGTATGACGGTATCTATCGGAAGTAGATTTCGTATTCGAGTATTAAGGATTGAGACAAGATTTTTGTCACCAACTTAAAGTCCCGCAGTGGACTGATCGTTAAGACACGGTTCCCAGCAGATCACTGAAGTATCACTGGCTGCGGTCAGTGTGCGGGTGGGTGACCACTTGGATCAGTGTGCGTAGGTACCGAGGGTGTGCGGTATTGGTCCTCGTTAAACTGTGCTACCGTAAAGTGCTCAACTTCGCGCGCAGGTCGTCGGGCTACCGAAGCGGGGGTGCCATCCCCTCCGCAGAGGATCAAAATTGTGAGGATTCGTGAGAAGCTCATCATCAGGGATGTTTCCCAGACCGTCGCCAATAGCCCATTGTGCAGCTCTAGTGCGACGTAAATAAACAACAACAACAAGTCACCAACTTAAATCCAGTTTCTTAGGTGCTAGATTGCACTATAACTGTCTTATAAGGTCCATATTTGTGTGGATGGAGTTAAATTTGTTGAGTACCACATCTATGAAGATTAGCTCAAATCTAAATACAGAGAATTCTATTCTTATTCCTAATTTACACGAGTGGTGTGCCATCAGGGGCGTGACAGGGCAAGAGGATTGAAAACTTGATTTGTTTATTTACCTCCGATTCTCATGACCTGCTTTCCAGGCGGCGGGCGAAGACAGCTGAGAGTCAGGCCGGAATTAAAGTCCGTGATGATTGTCACTTTTTTTTTTCTTTCAATAACGTCTTTATTTTTCACCTATCGTTGCAAAATGGAGTTCTTAACATCAGGAATAGTGGAAATTTGACAAATCTTTTTTTTTTTTTCAGGCTTGTGGCTACAGAAGTCTGTTTTCAGACCCCATGTAAGGCAATTTGAAAAATCAGGCTTAACGAAGACACTGCTACCACAAGAGCTATGTTCGTATTTGCTGTTATTGGTATAAATTTGAATAGCAATATCTGGAATTCGGTTAATGACCTCAAGAACAATCTGACATAGGAAATCGGGCAGACTTTTGCTTTTTTTAAAGAGGGTTCTGAGTTCAGGTTTAAAATGGATTCCAGAAAAGCCCTCAAGACTTTTTTTAAAAAATATTTTCAAGATTTATATCCGGCAACATCTTTCGCTTTATTCATCCATTATTATTATTTTTTTATATCAAGTCAAGTTCGAGCATATGAAATGATCTCGCAAAATAAGATATATTTTTTTTTCTACAATGAAAAAAAAATTTGCAAAAAGTACTTTAAAATACACTAGCTTTCGAACAAATTGTAGTTAAGTTATGGTAAAAAAATTCACAAACATTCATTCCCATTCAGAGCTTTAAATTTCAACCCTGCACTTGCATTCTATTGGGCAGTAGATCAAACAGTTGATAATTCTAGATCTAATAAAGAGTCTTATTATAATTTTTTTTATGCAATCATACTTGTGCATTTCTTAATATACATGTGTGATTTCAAGTCTCATAATTTTTGCGCAGTAAATGTAACGTAAAGCAGAAAAAAAGTACTTAAAATTGCATTAACTTTTAAACGAATTGGAATTTTAAACAAAAATGTCCCTTTCACACCGTCAAATTTCAAGTATAGTTGTAATCCTGCGGCAAGCAAAGCATGGCATGTCAGCAACTCGCATGGTATTTTTTTAAACACATTTTACAGTTAATAATTAACTATCGACTCTTAAATTCCCTGTATATTCTTCTACACAACTTCGTAATTTCAAGTCGTATAGTTTTTAACAAAACAAAATAAAACGAAATGTAATGCAGCAAAACAAAATGTAACGTTAACACCCAAAACAGCAGCGAAGTTAATATACTGAGAATACAAATTATGAGAATTTAAATCAACATAAGATATTTAGAAATATTAAAATCTTACATCGCGCCGGGTGAGTCTTTTATTCAGCTAAAAATTCGCATTTTCAGAAAATGGACACGACCTCAAAACTTACATTTTTCTTTACATAATGTACTATTTGATAATATAATCAAACGAACCTCACACGAAAAAATAAATGCAGGACCTGGTTTAAGACTAGAAGAATCAGACATTGAGCTAAAAGCGTCAGCATCCTTTGTCCCAGTTAAGACAGTCAGAAATATTCCACGGGGAGATTTTTTTTCGACTCTGGACGTGCTTTATAGAGAACCGATTGATTTCATTTTCATAAAGGGATACATTGTTTTACTATGATGCTTTTGTTACTTGTTATTAAATACGGTGATATGATCTCAGATCTCGGGGTTTCAATCATAACAAACGCCTTTTAACATAGTATATATTTAATAACAAAAGGATGATGATAATGGTACAGTGTCATGGAGGAAACTGATTAGAAAACTAATGATTTTACATTACTGCGCAGAGCGCCATCTATTGAGTTTTAGAAATTATAATTAATATGGAGAAATATTATTAACACTTGTTATGCAGCTCAGAAGTTATATACTAAATTGTATTGTTTGCGCGTTGACAAAACCAATGACAAAAGAAGTCTGTTAATATCTTTTGTGATTTTCTTAAAGGGATTACAGGGGTGATAGTGACACAAAGCGAAAAAACTCTGCAAATTTTATGTGCATAAAATCGAAAGCAATTTAACTACCATATATTTTTTGTATTTAACATTATTTTTTTTTAAATAAGATTTATAATTAAATTACCTACCGACGAAGAATACCTTTATAGTAACTCCTTTAAGAAAAATCTTAGTATTTACAAGAATCGCGATATTGGATTTTTAAAACGCTTGTCTATAAATCGTGATGCATGATTTTTAGAATCGCAATGTGTAGCTTTTAAATCACGTATAGTACGAAAGCCGATGTTTGATATTACAAACGTGTGAATACAAATTGCGATGTTGGATTGTAACTTTTAAATTGGGAAAATATGGAAATCTATGTTCGATAATAAAAATCAAGTGAATAAGAATCACGATATTAGCGGATGCCGACCCAGTTCCATATATTCAAATTAGCGAAAATCCGCCAAACCGCCAGAATCACACGCATGTAAACGCGTCGTTAACGGGATTTAGCGAAAGTTTTAAAATTTAAACTTTTGATTGCGGAAACGATAATCTATGGTCTTGAGAAAATCTGATAGTCCCAGAAAAGTCATATACCCTGCTACTAAGTTTTAGGCCTGGAATATGAAAATTCTGGAATTCCGGGACGCACCTCGAGGGTTTCGCAAGGAGAAAAAAAAACTTGGCCTCAGAGTTGTCTATTCTACTCAGTGTGTTTTTTGGAAAATAATATTTATTAAAAAAAATAATAATTTGCTCGTTACTTACTGTTTGTTTTACCTTCTTGATACAGAAATTGGGATGTACTCGATAAATAAAATTTTCAAAAAAAGGAAGAACAATAACACACTACTTCAGACAAATTTTTATATAAAATGGATCTTTCATTTCATACTCCATTTTTGTAAACAATTTTAAATCAAATAAACATTTCAAATATTTAAAAAAATACATCACTTTTCAAAATTCTTTGAATTAAACAACTTTTAGAGTGAGCTAGCCAGAGATGGATAAAATTGAACTTTACCTGTTCTATGGCAATACTTATAAAAAATAGCATGTTACTCTTGAAATGCGTTTTATATGCTAAAAAAAAAAAAAAAAAAAAAAAAAAAAAAAAAAAAAAAAAAAAAAAAAAAATTAAAANAATAAATATGTATACCAGTTCATAAAAATATGAGTTTTATTTATTCATTTTTTTTTTTTACAACCTGTGCAAAATTACATATAAAATGAATAAGACAAAATTTAACTTTGTACAATCATTTTTCAATGAGGAAGAATTTCAAATAAAGTATTAAGCTCCCTGGCCAAATTATTAGACGCACTGCAGATTTTTAATAATTACATGTCTTGCACGAGTATATACAGTACTTTTGTATTTAAACAAACATGTAATGGGTTTTTATTCAGGGGATTTTTTTATATACTTACTATTTACATTTATTTTTAAGGTATTGCATTACAATGTGGAATAACTGATACGCGAACGTAAATAAGTGCAAAGCGGTTCAGTCACGTTCTTGCGTGCGTCAGTTGCGGACGTGTTTCGGTGGCTTTATGCGCTGTGTCGTTTGTTTCGCAGTTTTGTACTACGCAGATATTTGTTTATTTTGTGTGCAGTGTATAAATAATTAATTGGAACATTTTCATCATGGGTAAAAAAGGCGATCTTTCACCATGTAAAAAAGTTGAAGTAAAGGCCCTCGAGAATACTAAAATATTTCCAAATCACAAAAGATCATGAAGATTGAAGGTTTCTGAAACTAGAGTATGACGCATACAGAAGAAAATCGAGTCGGGACGAATTGAGCTCGAAACGAAAGAAAAGATGAGGCAGAATCTTATAGAGCGTCTAACAATTTGGCCTGTGGATTAATCTTACGTTAAATGAAATAAGATAAGACTACAGCAAATAATTAAAATACTGAAGTTTGGAATGTATATTTAGTCAAAGAAATAATACTTTGAGTTAACAGTTTGTATGTATAATCAGAGGCTAAAACATAATGAACCACTGACAGACAAAGTGTAAAAATTTTAAAATCCTAGTAAGTGGTGGTGATAAGATATAATAATTTTTTTTAAAAAAAAATATTTTTTAATCTACAGATCTTAATGTACGAGGGAAAATTTCGTTTAAATTAATAAAAACTTTAGGCTTAGAATGCACAGTCTTACAAGTGGCAGGTCAAATTTATTTAATTTAAAAAATTGCACTTCATATGTCATCTAGTCAACAGGGTGCGTAAAATTTTTAAAGGTGCTTATTTTCGTTTTTTAAAAGCCCTTAATGGTGCTTTTTTCACCGGGTGTTTTTAAAAAGTGCTTAATTTTCCCTTTTCTTTACCATATAAATGAGATTTTTCTTTTCTTTACCATATAAAGTTTTTCCTTGAATTACGCAAAAAGCGTGTGGTTTTCACATTGCTTATTTCAACGTTTTCATAATTCATTTAACCAAAATCTAATTCGACATACCATTTGTCCGTAGCATATGAAAGCACCAAGTATTTGCAAGTTCGAATACTGAGCGGGATACGGTGGGAAGGATTCATGCATTCTCATGAGCAACTCTGCTGAATTTCGCAAGAGAGATTATCTTTTTAAATTACTGTTAAATTAATTATTTATAATTTTGAAAAAAAAATTTTTTACGTAATTGTGTAAAGTAATTTTTAATTTAAAAAATTGAATGATTCACTCAATATTGAATATATTTAAAATTGTGCTTAATTGTTTTTATGGTGGCTAATAATAATCATGAAAAATTTCTTTGTCAGAAACTAGTTATTTTATCATGATCATGCAACTTAGAAAATTATTTTGCATTTTGTTAACACATATATATATATGAAGAACTTTCAACAATATGAAGGGAAAAAAAATTAGTAGTGCACACATCCTAATTATGATATTTTTTTAAAGTGCTTAAAAATATTTTTTGAGTGCTTAAAAAGTACTTAAAAGCATTTTTTGCTGAAAAATTTGGCTACGCACCCTGTTCAAATGATTTAAAAACCTTTATGTTTTAACTTCAATACACAGCTGTCAGATCGTTTTAGACTACAAAATATAAAATAAATATTTGAATTTCTAAGACAAGAAGAGGAGGATAGGAAAAGAGTTGGAAGAATGTCACACAAAGTTTTTGTTAATCTGGGTGAGCAATTAACTACACATTTTAAGATCACTTCAGATCAGAGAAGAGGATATGAAAAATTTTTTTTAGAGGTTTCAAAAACATTAGCACAGAAAAGTATATCACTGCAAATGAGATCATTTTCAATCCTCAAACCAATGCAAACGCGCAACTTCTAACGAAATTTTCTCTTGCTTAGAATAATTAGATAAGAATTTACCAGACCAGAATACTTATGCAAGCAATAATGTTAATATTTGTTAATAATATTAATAATATTTGTTAATCTGGGTGAGCAATTAACTACACATTTTAAGATCGCTTCAGATCAGAGAAGAGGATGTGAAAATTTTTTTTAGAGGTTTCAAAAACATTTTATAATTAGCACAGAAAAGTATATCACTACAAATGAGATCATTCTGAATCCTCAAACCAACGCGCAACTTCTAACGAAATTTTCTCTTGCTTAGAATAATTAGAAAAGAATTTACCAAACCAGAATATTTATGCAAGCAAAAAAATACATCTGATTTATTTAATTGAAATTGCATAATTTTACGAGGGAGTACAGTAACAAACACTTGCATTTGAAAAGGTTAGAACTTGCAGTAGGTACAGAGCGCAAAACAAAAGAAAATCTTGGTTAACTTTTTAATGAAGTTGCCGATCATACCCGTTCAAAGGGGCAACATCAAATATGATAATAATTTAACATAAACTATTAAGTTACAGAATCAGAAGCGAAAACGTACTTTCTCTGAATAAATGTACCCTTTTTTTCAATGTATATAGTAAATTTTTGATTATTGAAAAATGGGGGGAAGGAGAGTTTAAAGAGAGAAGTGAAATGTTTGGCACCTTAATTTTAATTTCACTTTTTATGAATTTCGCCATATCTCAGGATAATTTTGCGCATATCGAAAAAAAATTTGCAGACAATCATAAATTTAGCTCGTTAAAGAATAATTTCACATAAAAAATTATTGTTAAGATTTTCATTATTTTATTTAATAAAGGTAAAAAAAAATGATAAGCATGAAATTTTTTTTACATCATTGTAAAATATATAATTTTTAATGTTAAAATACAAAATTTCTACAAAATTTGTCTAACAGTTCTAAAATACAGCTTCTTTTAAGTTACATAACTCAGCTATTTTCGATAAAATTTTGTCATTCCAAATTGCATAGTTAAAAATGATGTAAGAATTTGCAAAACTTTCAATTCAATATTGTCCGTTCCTTATTGTATAAAATAAAAAATAATGAATAAAACTATTAAAAATTAATTTTTACATGAAACTCTTTGATAGATGAATTTTATAACTGTGTGCAAAATTTTTTAAGTTTGCGTGAAAATTTTCAAAATATGGTAAGCACTAAGTGAAATTAATATAATGGGGGCCCAAACTTTCAAAAGGTTTACTGATGAAAGTATTCGGAACATATTCTCCAGATTGCAGCTGCACCTTACTTTGATGGTCAAAAATCCAAAATCGTAGGGAAAAGGGCAAGTTTATTGAAGTTAAGTATGTTTTGTAAACAAGTCAATGGTTAGCACTAATTAATTAGTATTTTTGAGGTCGTCCCTTTAAAAGATTAAAATTGATATAGTTTGTGAAAAAATCTGATCAGGACAGTTATTTAAGGTGATATCTTTTTTTGTGCACGGCCAGAGAATGATATGGAAGACAACCATTGCAGGATAATTATCGGCAAGAGAAACTCTTATCACTGAAATAGTACCCATGAAAATGAACCAAAAGTTTTTCCATAACACTATGGTAGAATGAAATAATTTTTTTTTTAACATTCATAACTTTTCCATATTAGCTATTTCTGATTGCCTTTGTTTTTCCATTTTGTTTTGTTCATGTATCGCATTAGATTGTATTCAATTAACCAATCACTTTCTCTCTCCAAATATTTTTTTAAGCCCCATTGGAAAGAAAAATATTCAGCTGAACTGGAATAAACAAATAAAGGTGAACAGAAATGTTTATGGAAACAAAATTAAAATAAAAGATTTATCATTTTTTAAACATATTTGAAGCAACTTAAAATAAATTTATTTAATATGTATATAAGCTCTATGCAAGAGTGAAATAAAAATATATTACAATAAGTTATCTAGATAAGTGAACATTTTAGGGCAACATTTACACAGAAAACCACCGCCATTCAAAAAGAAAAAGTACTCATTCAATACCACTAATTAAAAAAGAATAAATAAAAATTTGCTCAACTTATCATTGTGAGAGAAAAGCAATTTGATAATTTAAATTATTCAATAAACATAAAATTATTTCCCATTTCATCAAAGAAAAAAGAACATTCAGCTTTCCAAGGAAATACAAAGAATTTTTTACCGGGTAATGTCTTGTGAAACAAAGCTGTAAAGACAAGACGATGAGTTAAAGTGTCCTTTACAAGCTATGTCAATATTTTATTTTACATTTAAATCAGGTGGATGAAATGATACAGATGGGTCACCTTCTTAATTTGTCACCTTCCTCAATTAAACTGATGAGCCTCTGCCTTCCTTTCTTATTCAGCTGAGTTATGCAATTCACTAAACTGATCAACTGCTTATTTGTGTACTCCTAGAAAACAAGAAAAGGTGTTCCATAATGACTGCCCTTAAATACATCTTTAAAGAATTCTTGTCTGAAAGCTATACACATTGAATTAATATTAAGTGAGAAAAGCATGGAAATGTTTTGAAATGCTAACCAAACATATCAACTGTTTACTTCTACAGTGGACATCTACATTCTTCTATATTTTGCATATAATAAAAATATTATTTAGTGCTGCAAATGAATTTAAAAAAAGTCACCTTGTGTGAACGTATCCACTGTTCCAGATTCTGCTCCAACATGTAATAGGCTTTGATGTAGCTTTCTACAAGCTCCTTCCCTGGGAGGGGCTGCAGCTCAGTCAGTCGCTCCACTTTGCAAAGAAACTGCTGATAATCCAACTGCATTAGGGCTCTACCACCATTTGTGCACTTCTTTGCTTGTGAAAACCTGTTCCAATTTTAATTTATAAAAAAGTTCACAAATTTTGCAATTTAATATCATATTACAGAAAAACTAAATTTACTATTTTTATAACTAATACTATTTTTATAACTAATAATAAGGAATATAAAACTATTTTTATTCCTATAGAAATAATTTGGTGGATCCGACTTCATTTATTAAGAGCTATTTAAATTTTATCTTACTAACAATACAATTTAAAAATTTTCAGAGAGAGTGCGAAATTTTTAATACCATTCTTATTCCAATGCATATATCAAACTTTTAAGGGTTTCTAGGAAAAATAAGACCTTCCCTTAAATGAATAAATATTCTAGTGTATCATAAAAAAGGATACACCGCGTCTGAATAATTCTGGATAGGTAAATTAAAATTACAAATCTTTTCCTATGTTCACTTTTTGAAGTATATTTTTATTTTTGATAAGGTACGTGACAATAAATCTGGATAGTAATAATATATTTTAAAATACCACAACATATAATTTTTTATGTTTGATACAAAATCTAAGAATTAAAAAGACTGATAATGTTAAATTATGTAGTAGGCAATTGTACACTAAATAAAAAATAATCTATTAAAACTTTGTTTGCTACATCTTCCATTTAACAAACCTGTTTTACATGACTTAACTTTTCTATCTACTATTCAGTGTTGTGTATTTTAGGGGGCCTTAACACAATTTGAACTCTAAACCATATATTTTTCTCTGACAAAATAATTTAACATTGAAATTGTATAACAAATCATATTACAGAGATGATAACACTTCATTAAAGTGAGAAAAATAGGAATACTATTTCCAATTTTCGTGTTTTTTTTTTCTCTTCAAATTTTTAATGAGAATGTGAAAAAATAAACACTATGCTAAATGTTAAATTTTTTCTACATTTTTTTTTCCTTCAAAAAAAAATTAAACTAGTTTTTAGCTTAATTGCACTAAGCATTGCAATAAGTTAATCGTTAAGTTTTTACACTTCAAGGTGGAAATTTTCTGTAAAAATGTTTCTTTAAAAACTTCAATTTAATACTTTCTTACAAAATCATTCAAATAAAAACATTGTCGTGAGAAAGAAATTACACAAAGACGGTAAAATATTGATCGTAACAAACATCTAAGTACTTTGTAAAAAACCTCCACCATCTAAGAATCACATTTGTAAGAATTTATATCGGTAAGCTATTTACCCAATGGGCTACTTATTAACCTAATGTTGATGATTAAAACATGTTAAAATTAAAAGTTTTAAAAATTGATGTTTGGGAAATATAATTGTTGTTCGGAACTAAAACAACGCACAGAAAGTCACAATATCTGTATTATTTTTAAACAAACTATCAGTTAATATTTATAATAATTTAAACGAAATGAATTTTTATTTTAGTTAGGTTTTTATAAAACGACTTATTTTGGTTATCCAGTGAATTTCAGGAATGAGGAAGAAATATTCAATTGGTAAAAAAAATTTTTATAGTTAAAATGTCCTCTCCCACACGTTTTGATTTTCCAACGCATCCCACACATGAAAAAATTTAAGAAAATAATGCAATGTTACAATAACTATGAGTTATAATGTTAAAAAACTATTACAAAGCATTTTCAAAAGTTTGAATTTATGAAATTAAATATGATAATTACATTATTTTTGTTCATTTCATGGAATTCATCTTTTTATTTAAAAAAATTCATGCATGTAATTCCGGCTTCATCTTACATGTGTGTTGTTGTTCGTTATACTACTTGCCTATACCAGCAAGCCTGCTTGAAACTAAGTGAATTTTAAGGTAGAGAGTGTGTTTCTTGTTTTTTCAGTTGGTCCATCTATGGCCAAGAATAAGACTTCAGCATCACATCCCATTTTACAGGAAGTACCCAGTCATACTTCATTCATTCATCCACAGATCATAAATTTGATCTGAACCAGAGAATGATCAATTTCCAATTCAGTACCCCCAAAGGCATTAGTTATAGGAACTTGGAAGACTTTGTGATCCCCCACAGATTTAACGAGTACCAGTCACTATTTAATACATCCTTAATGACCCTTGGGGTGGGGGGATTTGAACTCATGAACATGAGCCTAATGTCCTACTAACTAGGCTATCCTGGGCCTACATGTGATGATTGCTTTAATTGCTATATACATAATTTTAAAAATGACAACTACATGAAAATTACTCAAAATTTCTTTTTTAAAAGTATACATTATATCACATTTAATACAGAGAATGTGCAACAAAAAAAAAGTCCTGCAGATGAGCATGGAATCAACATTTTGAGTATAAAAATTGTCTTTACCCTTCAATAAAGGAATGATTTGAAAACTTAATACAATATTCCCAGAGAAGATCGTACGTTTCTTTGGGTATTGGAACTTTCTTGCTCACTTCAGAGAGTCTCATGCTGAACACCTGCAATTCCTAAATAAATACATCAAAATTATTTTTTAACATGCATGTGTTTTAGAGCAAGGAATATTTTGAACAGGAAATGAACTTGCCCTCAGTAGTATGTCCACATATTGGCTATGTTGGGACATTATTTCACTGATGTCCCACTTGACAGCCGACATCTGAGTGATGATTTGATCGTAATCGATTGTCTTGGCACTCACGGCTGCATAGATTGGACGTCTGAGCTCTGAAGCTTGGCTGACTGTCTGCAGATATAAAAAATAAATTACTTATTTTTTTGTTGTTTACTTATCAGTTTTACAATGTTTTACTGACACAGAGATTGTCTGATAACAGCAATACTCTCTTCACTCATTTATTTGCAAACACAAAACAGTTAGATAGCTTTTATTATATGCAGCTTAGTTTCAGATTATTTCCATAAATGAGGGAATCTTTTCCTCTCTTTCAATCAACAATTTTTCCCTAAATCTAAGAGGAAAAATAATCTGCAGCAGCAGTAATAATCTCGAACACCCCTCGACGTGCTGCAGGATTTCTGCAACCAGACAACTAAAAGGTATTAACAGCATTTTATGGTTATGTTACGATTCTCTATGATAGCTAGAAAGCTTTTTTAAAAATCAAATAAGGCTTATTTTATTTTAACAGCATACTGTGTTCATAGAGATATTAAGTACAACAAAGGTTTAGGTGAGTTATGGCAAAATAAATAAACGTAAAACTTTTGAAAAATTAAAATTATTTCTATATATTTTTAAAATTTTTTCATAATCTCTTGAGTTTTTTTAAAAATATTAGTTCTTTGCTCAGCTCTAATATAACGAATAATTAAGAACCTCAAATATAATAAATTATAACTTCAAATAAACTGTAGTAACTTTCCTGACTAAGTAAAAAAAAAAAAAAAATACCTGTGAACAAAACTGTTGAAGAAACGCCTTTTTATTGCTTGGAATGAGCAGCTCAAGATTTGGATGTAGCAGCTCAAACTGTTCCGCCAGAAACACTCTGATATAGAAAAAAAAATTGCATTGCAATTAATGAAGTATGAAACAAGAAAATTATTCCCAGAAAGAACATTATTATAACAGAAGTATATAAGGCTGGCAATGTTTTGGACATAATATCTAAAATCTTGGATAAAAAACCTTGTTTTTCACCATCAAAAATATTTTGCTGTTTATTACTGTTCAAAATTACTTTGTCCAAAAACTGCAAGCATATTTTCTCAAAGAATTATTTAAAGAATAGTAAAAGAAGTCAGCAACACATTGTAGTACAAGATTAACAATATTTTAATTAATGTATATAAGTCAACTTTTTTTAATCCGAAATTTTTACAAAAATCACAGAATCGACTTGTACACTGATAATAAAGTCAAACATTCATTGTTTGTGAAGTATAGATACACTAAAAGCTATGAGATAGATAAGAATAATTTTCTGTCAATTTACTTCTTTCAAAAACAATATTTTAAATGAGATAAAAAATAAGAATTAAAAAAGCTAGGATAATTTATTCAAGAGTATTTCAAAAAATATAACACCCTTCAAATGTTTTTGAGTTTCAAGTATTAAGCATTATTAAGATTTGTCTTAAATATATTTAATTTTCTGAGTGGTTTTTAATAGCTTTCGTGATTGAGTAAGTTCATGACTTTTGTAGCAATTAAAAAAATAAGTTCCATTTACGATATATGCCAATATATATGCGGAACATCCAGAATATATGGCATTCAGAACTATAGCATCCAACTCATGTGGCTCTGCAACATGTAAAAATTGATTCAAAACAGCAAAAGAAAAGAGATTAATGGCTATCATTGTTTTCCAAAAAAGCAATCTTTAAAGTTTGTTTAAAAAAAATAAAGATAATGATATTTAATATCATGTGCTCCAAACATTTGCTGACATTCACACTGGTGTTTATTGGAGAGAAAATATTTTTTTAGAGGTTGGCAGCACTAATAACGAAAACACACAGCCATCTGAAATTCATTTCTGCTGCATGTATACCAGAACAGCGTATCGCTGCGAAATTATGGTAAATAAAACCAAAATTTGAAGAGAATTGGTTGAATAGTTCATGAGAAATAAAAGTATGATTTCTTTCAGATGGAAAAATATGCTTCATGCTTAGGGCAAAACTATCAACCACTTTTCTGTTTGAACTATTGGAACCCCATTTTCCAGATTCTGAATACCCTATATTTTAATTCATCAAAGAGGCATGTTTATTCAGAAAAATTCTGGTTTCGTGGCTGATTTCGTAAATTAAAATATCTTCTGCACTGATTAATTACCACATTTAAGGGTAGACCCTTGAACCATTAAAATTAAGTCTTAGTAGATGAAAATCCAGTCATTATATCAAAAGTTATTCAGGGTAATCACTTTTTTATTTTGTGCACTGTACATCAATTAAAAAATTTACTTAAAAAAATTATAGATCAAAAATTAGATAACTCACAGAGATTCAGCAGCAGCAACTCTCTCTGCTAAGCCGAACAGATCTTCCACTTTCTCCAAATTGACAGCAGGGGATAGGCTGGGTGGAGGAATTTTATCCTGAAATAAGATATTAAATAAGGAATTATGCCTTAGGATTGACTACATGTATTGAAAGTACAGTAGGAAAGCAACAGAAGTTCTCTGAATGATCGAACTTTCACTGAATTACCATAATTGTGGTTTTAAGAAGCATCAACATAAATAAGTATAACAGCAACACAGATTACTCAGTGACACAGAGCTCTAAAGAGGGCTCTACCTTTGCCATCTTATTTTAGTAATTTGCAGTTTAAATTTTTTTTTTTGTATTTAACAAGCTTTTGATGATATAGTATCATTTGACAGCCCAATTACTTTGAAAAAATGGTGGGAAATAAGGGGGGGTCGCTTTATTAGATTAAGAGAAATAGAGCTTGATAATTTTTAGAACTTATTCGGATTTTTCCACCATACTTTAAAACAATAAAATTATGCAATGTGTGGTTTTCAGTCAGTAATTGAAAACCATACATTAGTCTGTATTTAATATCTCAGTCTGTTTGGTAAGCAAAAATATTAAATTACAGTTGTAAACTCACCAAATTTGTTGCAACATTACACTTTTAAGTTTTAATGTTTTAAAAAATGATTACACATATTCATTAACCTTTCTTAATGGAATTATAAAAAAAATGCATAAATGTGGGGACAGAATCAAACAGAGTTTTTCATAATTCATACTAAGTGAATAATTTCAACTTTTGCAGAACAATATGCCAACAATTATTGCAAAGCAATTATTGGAGTTGGTGTGAGAGACCAAGTGACAAGATATATTAAGATCAATAATTTGGTGACAGAGTGTCATTTGTTAAACACAATGTCCTAATTTTTATGAATCAGAGAGATGAAATCTTAGAGAAATGAAACTGACTTTCATCTAACCGATATTTCGTAATGGTTTTAAAATTCAATAACTATTTTTTCATAAAATTAAAGGAGACAAACAAAGTTCTAAATATTTTAACTAAACACTACGAGATAGTTATTTTCAGTATTTTATTCCTTACTCAATAAGGAAAAGAACATACCTTATTGTTACTTTCAAATGAATCTGCAGTTTCAATTTCGCAGGCTAAATTGTCTCGCTTTATCCTTTTCAAAGTCGTTTTCAATTTGTTACTGAGTATATTTTCTTTAAGATCGCTCTGAAATCCAAAGCAACATGTTATTAAAATAACTTATCTCATAAAGTATTAAATTTTATGTTAAAATGTGTACATACGAACCACTTCTTTGGCAAAGAAAATATATACCTAAAAAAGGAATGTGGAATAAGTAGTTGTATCATTCAAAAAATACAAACAATGGGGAATATGCATTATGTCCCAAAAACTATGAAAAATCGTTTATATTATTTAAATCAATCTTTAAAAAAATGGAAAATGCACTTAAAAATTTGCAAAAATGTCAAATTTAAAAGTAAAAAGCAATTGTAACTGAATTTAAATCAAACAAGACATGGTTTCGTGTGACAACACTCTACACAAAGCATTGCTCTACTTTCACTCGTCCTGTGTTATTTTCGATATCCATTTAATATCGTTCATTAATTTGCTGCTAGTTTACAAATAATTTATTCATTTTTTTTCTTTCTTTTTCAAAAAAAAAATAAATAAACTTTTGCTTCTTTATTAATTTTATATGAATCAAATTTTATAAATGAAATATTTTAAGAGCTACAGATTATAATGAGTTATTATTAAAATATCTAAAATTGAAATATTATTAAAAATAAATCATGAAAATATTACACTTTAATAATATTTAAATTTAAAAAAAAGTAAACATGCCCATTTCTTTTAAAAACTGCACATTCTTAATACTTCTTTTTTTAGATTTTAAATAACATTGAATTATGAAAATGATCCATATTTTAAATTCATAATCAGCTTTAAAATGAATTAAACTGAATTGTTATCCTATTCATAGATAATTGTAAATTACTGATATACACTCAGCTAATCATTCTTCAGGTCAGGTCGTGAAAATTATGGTGACTATGTGATAGGTTACCTCTCTTCATGACTGCTCTGCACGCCATATTTTTTGAACACGCTCTACTATGGGCACGCAAAAAAGGAGTTTTGATAGTAACACTTGAACAACAGGGCACTATACACTATTTATAACTACGCTGCTTAAGCTTTTCAGAATCTTCCATCGCTAAATTTAAAATAAATCTGCATTAACAACGATCAAGGTAGATTTAAACAATACTGATAGTAGGCGCTTGCTAGAATGTTTTACACAGAGCGACGTCACAGGCAAAGATCGTCAGCAACTGGCCATTTTTTTTGTGAGTAACGTCATCACAATTTAAAAAGCATTTTAAAAATAATTCAATTGCTTAAATGCAATTTAAGTGGCATTTTCCACTATGGTTTTTTAAGCTCTTTCATTTGAAAATGATTTTGAAAATTATACATACTGTCCACAATCAACTATAAGAATAAACAATAATTTTAAAAAATCTACTTAATGTGGATAGAATATTTTAATTATTAAAACATTATAAGAAAAAAGACATCCAAACCAATTTTTAAAAAATTTTCAGAGCTTCATTTTTCACAACAAAATATTTCTGATATGATCAGATATCAAAAGTTATTTAATAACTGTTTTATGACTATGTTTTAGCGAACTACCTTTTAAAAAATATTCAGATTTTTCAGTACTCTATTCATTATTATGTATCAGTTTTATTACTAAAACATTACACATAAGATAATTTATATCATTTAACAGGAGTTATAGCACACAAAAGGTCACTCAATATTTTTTTAAATAAGAAGAGGTTATTTAAAATAACAAAAGGAAAAAATTACTGCATAGAAATAAGTATTTTTTAAAACTTACAAATGCTATATAGTAGTATACACACTAAACAATAAATGGTGTACTTACTGAATACATATAGTAGTCAAATAGGTGAGTCATACATAGCAACACATCAAAAGCAATAGGCTTTAACACACTCATCATCTGCATGTACTTTCCTTAATACAAAGACAGTTTCATTAATATAAAATTTACATTTTTTCATAAATACAAAATTTAAAAAAAAGGTTTTCAATGAAATGAAATACCAGTTTGCTAAGTCTTTCCAATACAAAAAATAAAAAAATAATGCTAAAAATGCTTGAAAGTTCAAAGCTATTACAGCAAGGAGGGATGTATATACTGTTATTCAAGAGGTTTTATTTAGCTTTGTAGATTGTCTTTCACCCTTAAGGACACAGATGACCCAGACTAAAGTGGAAAAAGTCAAGCTAATGGATATTTTTCTTAACAGTCAAAATGAAAATATTCAAAAGAAGGTGGCGATTAATTAGACTTTAGAAAGGAATCTCTAGCTATTAGCAGAGGAACGCTATAATTCTGAAGCATAACATTCATGCATGATTATCTCACACAGAAAAAAAGATTTTTTGTTGTTGGAGAGAATTCATGCAAATATGGTTTGAATATTAATGATGAAAACACAGTGTTCTGCTTTTGCCACGGTGACAAGCTTTAAGAATGTTGATGTGCGACTATCAGCATTGGGGGGCAAGAATACGATTTCAGCCACACACACATCACAGCCTGTTTTACAGGGAGGACTCATTCATACTCCATTTATTCATCCACAGATCCTAATTCTGACCTGAACCAGAGAACGATCAATCTTCAATTCAGTATCCCCAGATATATTGATTTGTTATGGGAACTTGAAGGACTTAGTGACTCCGAGAAATTCAACGTGCACCAGTCACCATTTAATTCACGGGCATTCTTTGGACTAACTCCAGTCGCCACTTATTACACGGAGACAACCAGTCGCCATTTATTACACGAAGATTTTTCGGCCAGCGGGATTTGAACTCATGATCTAACAAACATGAGCAAAGCGTCCTACAAACCAGGCTATCCTGGCCCTGAATATATATCCTTAAATATTAATTAGAAAAAAAAGCAATAAACTCAAAGCCAACATTTTTATAAGGTTCAATTAGTAAAAGTGACGCCTGGTGGCTGAATGGTAGCACTCCGTGCTTCCTTGCCACAAGTTCAGGATTCCACCCTCGTACCAGGCAAGGTTGACTCAGCCTTTCAATTAATCGACAAAAGGAGTACTAAGCATGCTTGGAGACTAAACACTGGGGTGCTACATTCGGTTGACCACCCAACTGGAACATCTGCCTCTGTACCCAAAGTCAAGAAAACTGGGATGGGCACATTAGGCGTACAACTGAGTTTAGTTTAGTTAAATTAGCAAAAGTTCTAGCTTGAGGTAAAGCAGCTCTATAGTAATTCAACATAGCTTTAAAAATAACTTTTACGATATAAACTGGCACATAACAAAGCTATGAATCAGGTTGAGTGATTTTTAGGTTTCATACTCTAATATGAAAAGAACATTTTAAAATTATTGATACTGAAGTATTGTTTATACTTACCAAATGATCTCAAAACATTCAATGCAGTATTTGTTAGAATAGGAACTGGTTTTTTCCTTCCACTCCCAATGTGTTTGCTTACTTTAGATTGCCTAGAGAAACAAACACCTGCATTTCAATACTATCCAATCAAAAATAACATTTGACAGTAAATGTGAAAAAGTTTAAAATACATTTTTCTTGGAATGTCTTCTGTGTTTTCATCAATGAAGTCTTTTTTAAGCTCATCTGGGATTTCAGAGTCATCACTGTCTGAATTGTAATGGGTGCGATCTAAAGTTTCACTCTACAAAAGAAGTACATAAGTTTTAAAAATACTCTTGTGTACAAATTAATACAAATCCAGTTTCAAAAAGCATCGTGCAATTCCTCAAAAAATAAATATCTGTTTAACACTGTTTATAACATTTATAAGCAATACTAAAAAATATACGATTATATTTGAGAAACATAGAAAAAAATTGTTGAATATTCATTAAAAAGATGTAATAATTTGCTTTCAGATTTGAAAAGCTAACCTTTTTTTTAGAAGATCTTAAGTTACATTTGTTATATTACTTAGAGCAGGACATGAAATTTCATTTCTGGCAGGCTAAAACTTTCATATGCCATTATTTTCATGTAAAATATTAAAAAAATATTAAAATGCAGTAAAAGGAACTTTCAGGTATCTAAAAAAAAATTTATTAAAAAATGGAAAAATGTGGAAACTAAAAAATGGGTGACACATTTATTGCTTAGTAAAAATAACTTAAAATAAGGTGCTTGTAAGGTCTTTCAATATCATTAAAATAAGAAAAATACTACCCGTCAATTGCAGCCCTAATGTCCTCAAACTCTGTTACTTACTTGCTAATAGTAAATATATTTAGTCCCAAGCTGGCGAGTGAAAATTTCATGCCCTGAATTACTACAATGTCCTTCACAAACAATAATAAGTTTTAAATCTGAGTAAAGAAAGAGTAAAAAAAGAAAAAGTATATTTAATTATTAGAACTTAATAGATATTAGAACTTAAATATTAGAACTATATAAATATTAGAACTATTATTAATATATTAACTATTATTAATATTATTAATATATAAACTATTATTAATATATAAACTACTATTAATATTAATGAACTATTATTAATATATAAATATTATTAATATAAATATTAGAACTTAAACGTATAACGATTTGTGGATTGTAGCACCAATCTACTAATGTTACTTTTCAAATTGCACTCTATTTACATCAGGTTTTGCCCATTAGATAATTAGATTTTTCCCCCTTGAAATAATGCATAATTTGTGACCAAGAAGAAAGTTAAAAGAAAAGAGAAGACATCCCTTAAAAAAAAATTTTCTTCTCTTGAAAAAATAAACCACTTATTCTTTATCTGAGACATAAATTACCTTGGACAGATGGCAAATTCAATTCATTAGAAAATTTTATCAACTAGAATTAGATGAAACAATTATGTTTATCCTTTTTAGGTTTGAACAACAATTTTGGGTTGTTTCATTAGCACAGTTTAGAGCTTGAAAACACATAAACTTAACGGCATTATATTGTATTGTATGGCATTAAGGGGTGCTTGTTTTTTGATAAAATTCCATTCTTCTTGAATTTTGTAGCTTTTTTTTAAAATTGTAATTTTTTTATATATTGCAAAATTTGCTTATTTCTGTAAATATTTTATGTTTTATAAAAGTTTTGAGTGCAATGTCATTTCTTGATGCTGTTTCAGACATATTTGGTGCAAAATACTAAAGCCACTCGCTAAGGATCCACGTATAGACAAACCTTATTTTAAATGGTTAAAGTTTTGTTTGAGAATTTCAAATCAAATGCAATTACAAAAAATTAAGTTTCTATAACACTTCTGCACATTACGTTTTTAAAAAAAATTTGGAAATTTTAGTTTCTTCTTGGAAAATTTCTCATGACGACATTGATGGAATACCATTGTATGTGTTCAAAAATTAAAATGTATAACTCAAACTGCACAATAATTTAAACCTAGTTAGAAAAACTAATATGACAATTAGATAAATAAATTTTGCAAATTTAACATAAATTATTTGATTTAGCAGTAAAATATAATTCAAAAAAATAATTAAATGGTTTTTACAATGCATACAAATAAGAAAATGTCTTTACCTCCTTCAAACAAAATATGTCCTCAGTATCATTTTCATGAAACCTTTCTTCAAAAGGGTTTTTAGTGGGATTTTTTAAGAAGAAACTCTGATGCTTCACTGGACTGCAAGACTTCTCAGGCGAAGAGGAAAATGATTTATTGTGACGCAGGAAATAAAATTCCTTAAAAGATATTATTATGTATGAAAACTGTAGCTACAATGGTATAATTAACTTAATACATAATTGTACACTTTAAAACAAATACACATTTTCTTTATTTAAAAAACAAAGTATTATCCTGATCTACATGTTTTTTTTATTTTCATTTCTATAGACTAGAAAAGTGTGAAGACTTTTTTAATTATTTTTAGAGCAAAACATTTGTTTTTTTATTTCATTTCTAAATCATGAAAAGTGCTAGGCAGTTTTATTATTCTTTGCAACTTAGCTTTAAATTTGCAACTTAGCTTTAAATTTATTTTTAATTGTTAAGATGAAAAAAGAAGATTTTATTTTATCCATTAAAAAAGATCTAGATTTTTTTATTGCAAAAATTTCCAGAAAATATCATTGGCCTGTTGAAGGTTTTTCTGAGTGGAAAGCTAAAATTATTGAAAGGGTTAAATTTAATTTATTTAATACCAGTTTTAGTTCATTTCCTAAAGGTACTTTTATTGATTATGATTTATCTAGAAAAATTAAAAATCTTAAGGATAAATTCATTGTTACTGTTGTAGATAAAGCTTCAAATAATTTCTGTATTATGTGTAAATATTTTTTTAAAAAATTGATTATTGGGGAATATAATGCAAATAATACCTATTTAAAGTTAAAAGAAGATAAAAAAGTTATTGAAAAAAGAATTATTGCATTTAGTAAAAAATTAAAATTTAAATTAAATAGGATTACATTTCCATATTTATTTCCAATAGTTAAATTTCATAAAAATCCGATTAAATTTAGGTTTATAGCATGTGGTACTAATAGTTATAATTCTGATATTAGTAAAAGGTTTTTTTGTTTTTTAAAAATTATTTTGCTTAAAATTAAAAAAGAGAAAAATATTATTATTGAAAGTAATGTTGAAGTTTTGGATTTTATTAAAAGTAATGATATTTCCAGCATTAACACTTTTGATTTTGAAAATTTGTATACCAGCATACCACATGAAAAAATTATTGAGATTTGTGAAGGTATTTATGACAAGTATTTATTTGATGAAAAAATTGATAGGTTTAACTGGTTAGATTTATGCAAGTTTAATCTTTTTGAGAATGTTCTTTTTAATGGTTTAGATTTTTATAAACAAATTATTGGAATTCCACAAGGTAATTCCTTTTCTGGGGCTTTTGCCAACATTTTTTTGCACTTTTTTGAGGCTAAATTTCTTGAACATAAAGTACTTAATGCTTTCCGATACATTGATGATTTGATTTTGTTTAATTGTGACGATTTTAATTTTATTTATACAATTTATCCTGGTGATTTGGTCCTGAAAAAAACTAATGAAAATTGCTTTAATATTGAATATTTAGATTTTAAAATTGATATTGTTAACAATTTTATTAAAATTGGTGTGTTTGATAAAAGAAAAGCCTTTAATTTTAATGTTATTTTTTTCTGCAACTTTAAAACTAATTTGTGTAGTAAAATATTCAAAAATCTTGTTTTTTCGCAATTAGTTAGGATCAAGAAAATTTGTAATAATGTTGAAAGTTTTCGGGAAGCTGTGGATAATTTTTTAAATAATTTGAGTAAAAATGATTTTCCTTTTAATTTTTGTAATGTTAATTTTTTAATTAAAAAAATGATTGATGGTTTTTAAGTTTTTATATATTTTTTCTTTTAACAGGGCGCAATTCTAGTCTTAACTGAGCAGCCCCAGTTAAGCATTCTATTAATTTATCTACGTATCTCCTTCTCCTGACCTTTTCATATCATTTTTAAACTTTTACTGCGCATTATTATAGGGGGCGTTGTTTTTCAGTTTTTAGTGTTTTCTTTTCCTCCGCTTTTGAAGTTGATTCTTGACCTGTGACTGTGAGTTTTTAATTTTCTGATGATTTTTATTGATTTTCTTTTCGTAATTTGTTTATTCTTTTGAATGTATCTTGTTTTTCCTGGACCTCTATACAAAACCATCGGGGTACTGAGGGAGATATTTTAAGCTTTTGCTTCTCCCTCAAATAGAAATGGTTTTGTTTTTAATGGCTACCGGGGCCGGTACCCCCTGAAGACGTCGGCTTCGGTGGTCGTATTTTTGTTTTATTTCATTTGTTTTGTATTGATACTTTTTTCTGAAATTTCTGCTGCTTTTTAGCGCGTTTTTTTCAAAGAAGTTTTTTCCTTTTGATCTTAATTATTTGTGTTTTCTTTCAATATCCCACCAAGAAAGTCATTCTAGTTATGGTGAAAGAATGGAATTTTGCAAAAGTCAGGCAGAGTATACAAATTCTGTTTTGGAGGCTGTTTGATACAAATTCTGCTCTCGGCTTGCACCGATCACAGTGCTAACATAAAATATCCTCAGTGGTAGATGCATAACAGGTTAGAATCCTGTTGTTGTTGGGATAACAGCGGAAAGTTTTGGTGGTTTGCCTCTGCACATAATGCAAATGACGGCTAATCCCATCAAAAAGTCCTCCATAAAGGCTAGTTTCCCTGAATGCTTGATCCAGGAGTAAAATTCAAATTGGGTCAGCTGATCATCACCAGTTATAAAATAAAATGTTAGGCAAATGAAATATTTCAGAAACATTATTTCTTACTTACACAGGTAAATGTACTAGCAAGCTAGCTATTGATAGCTTGATTTTAAAGATAGAAAAAACTAATAGAGCTGCAGACGTATAATTTTACATAAGCACAATTGCATAATTAGATAAACACAATTATGTTAAGAAAGACAATAATAGGGAGCTCATAAGAGAAAGAGATAGAATCTTTCAATGTTTGCTTATATACCTGTAAATGAACAGCAGAGAAAGCAGAATGGACAGGACAGATTTCCCAGCTCTCATTTTCCAGAAATGTGCGTAATTCTTCCATGAAACCTCTGGAAACAAATAAAGAAGACTTTGACTTAATTTTTTCCGTAATATAAGTAAATGATTAACAATCGTTAAAAATATAATTATTTTACCTGTGATAGTTTCGAAAATAATTGACGGATTGTTTGCGCACAGATTCTTGCAACTCTTCCGATCTACTTCCACAAAAATCTTCTCCAACATCCATGAGCCTGCGCGTATTATAAACAACATTAAGAAAATAAAAAATATATTAATTATTTATGTTTCTAACACTTTAACTTAAAGCGCATTTTGTAACTAATATCAAAACTCAAGCCTTAAATCAAGATTTAAAATAAAAATATGATTAGATTTCAATTCATAACTTTATTTCTCCATTCAATTAGTAAAACATTAAGTACCTATTATTAACAAATTACTAATAAATAAATCTTCACACAAAATTAAAAGAATCACAAGTAAAGTCTCTATTGCATACATCTCATTGAACCCCTTCACTCTTCATACACGTAATTGGCCCAGGCAAACCTTGTATATTAATTGACCGTTAAAATTTTCATTACCATAACAAGCAGTGACCAAAAGTATTGACTATGAAAAAAATGTTAATTTTTAAAAAAAATTACCTGAATTGGTTGGCTAATGTTAGTTAAATGTTCTATGGCACAAGAGCCATAAAAGACTATAGTGGGCCAAATACATGTGTTATACATAATACATTCAATGTATAAACAGCATGGATGTTGTGTTTGCTAATGTTTATATTATTGATTATTTCGTCAAACTGCCTTGTTCTAGGTTGTTTACTCTTCCCAAGATATTGTAAGGTTTCCTAGTGACCTGCATGCTTTGGCGCGTATGCATTTTTTCTCCTTGTCACAGTCACTTGCATAATAGTAATCTTCATATTTAGTTCATAATAAATTATTGTTCAAATTGCAAGTACACAGTCTTATTGTTTCTTCATCACTGTGCTTAAATAACTCTGCATCCAATCCAAAACAGGTCCGAGGGGGTAACCACCATTTATTAAATTGGTAACTCTATTTATTAACCTCCATAATTATAGCAGGTAACCTCCATTCATTTATTTATTTTTTCCTGCAATAAATGATAATTTCGATTTGATTTTCAAATCACTTATTTACATCAACAGATGTAAAATTTTGCTTCAATTTAACAACTCTTTCTAGGCAAGCTAATTTTTTTGCCAATGAGTGTCGCTATAAAGGAATTAAAGATCTGAAAAATCTTTTTCACCTCAAAATTATAATTTTTTTCTCTCTGTTTGGGGGACCTCTAGACCTGGCTAGTCTGGACACGGATGGAAATAAGCAATAATGTAATAAAAATACTAAGCTTGTGCAAGAAAACCATAAAAGGGATTTCAAGTTCCTTCCAAAGTGGAAAAAACTATTCTGTAAAAAATAAATTGTTTTTAACACAAAGTGGAAGAAATAAATGAAACCTTTAAAAAAATATTTAAATGCTAGTTTTAAACAACTTAAAATTGAGGTACAGTTTACATAATAACATTAATACGCTTCTCCTTACATGCTATACATTACTAAATACGATAAAAATGATAGTCGGGACGCGAAAAAGTTTTGATGTGTCATATGGGATGTATAATTCTTAGAAGAAAATTAAAATACTGGCACTCAAATTATACTGGTGCTTTTCCTAGAGGCAAATGTTATATCAAACTAAAAACTTGTTGCCAAACATAATTTTTTTTCTTGTTTTGCCTATAAATAGATGGAATCCTTACAAATGCTCATACTCATAGATTGGCAAAAAGGTAGAGAATTTATCGTTTGTTCAATATTGTATTTTTTTCCTAACTTGGAAACTAAGTCCCCTCCTCGTTCCACTAATTTACTTGTTTTTAATTTTTAAGAAACTGTTTAAAATCCAAATTTATTTTATTTTACATAGAATTTTGTAATTTTTGAAAATTTAGAATGTTTTAAATGATTAACATTATTTTAAATAAAGACACCACTCCTCTCAGAAATTTGAAAGTCCTAGATCATAGTTTCCAAACTCTAGTGAAATCACTCTAAGTTATAAAATATATAAATTTTTAATTAAGTAATAACTGAAAAGCAGCAATTAGAAATATAAAATTAAAGAATTTTTTGAATTAAACTATTTGCAGTTTTTTAATATTTCAGGTAAATAAGTATAGTAAAACCTAATTTTATAATAACATAAAGAACTATGAAAATGTTATTAATAACACTAAATTAATAAATCACATATTAAACATTTACTCTCCTACTATGAATCACATAATGGATTCAAATTACCAAATAGTATATTAATTTTTAAACTCAAACACTATTAAGAATGAATACTCAAACCAACTCTTAACCAATATGAAAAAAGTTTTTTTTTAAAAAGTAAATGTGAAAAGTTTAATTTTTCTTATTGTTTTTATAATAAATTTAATTTTTTCAAATTTAAATTACTCTTTTAACAATTCTTTCTAAACAATTGTATTGGCCATTTAAGTTTCTTCCATTTCATCCAGTGTCTTGGAAGAAATAGGTTTCTTCTAGATGACATGTCAACCCTGACCATAAGATTTCACTTTTAAATAGTTTAAGGCATAAATAGTGGAATAAAAAATAAGCAATATTCAAAAAGTTTGACAGACCATTCATTAGCAATAAACTCTAGCTTATCTCTAAGGCATGTTTAGAATAAGTTTCTATAGTATGTAAACTAAATAAAGAAGAATAAAAAAACCTTTGAATCAAAGCTAGAATATGAATGAATTCGTCAAACTTGAAAGAAGAGAGATCTGAAGCTAGGAGGAATCCTTTGACTTTTTGTTGGACATCCTGCCAAATTCTGATACGGCCATGTTCCAGCTTCTGTTTTATGTAGCTGCAGTCTATACTTTCATCAGGTGTAGTAGTGGTGGTCCCTATCAACAGAAATCCTCCATTAAAATAATCAAGAACAGTAATAACAATCAATTCAATTTATTTATAGATGCAGAGAGCTATTTTATTGCTATGCGGCTTGCTGTAAAATGTACCCACAAACTGAGAACTGATTTAGATAAGAGTATCCAAAAGTAGTACCTGAATCTTCCAAACTTTTCTTATTTGCTTCATCTATTTCATGCCATTCTAAGATACACCAGTAACTGTACATGATGTTCCACAATGCTTTGCACAGATTTTCTAGGCAAGCAGTAAAACTATCAGGTTCTACTAACTGAAAACAGATCACATAAAATAGAAACTTGTTTTAAAATGCAACGGAGACAAAGGCAATAACAAACAAATAAAAGTTTTTAAAAAAAGACATTGTACTTCATAATAAATAATTATCTAATGTCTAGACTACACAAAATTATTAAGAGATAATTTCAATAAAATGTAATAGCTTTTTGACCGGATTGATAGAAAAAACAGGATTGTTAGACAGAAAACAAGAGAGTTAGTATTTTCAGTATCAGAATTCTAGAAAATTTTAAAAGTATTTACTGAATTATGTAAAGCTTAAAAATTAAATAAAAATAAAATTTTTGTTTTTTTTAAATTTTATGCTGAAAAATTATTTATAAAATTAAAAATGAATTCATAATTAATTACAGGCATAGTATTAAAAAAAATTAACTAAGTAAAAAAATCTCGAATAAGGGGAAGGGAAAACATTTTTTACAAAAATATTTCACAAAATTTTAATTTTACAGGTAGATACAGAATTATAAATTTCAAGGTAATATAATGAAATATTTAAAGTACAAAAAAAAATTATTTTTTTGTAGGTAAACATAAGAAGAAGAATTTTTCAAACAAATAAAAAAAAAAGCAGCATAAAATGTACGTAGATTTTTCCTTACTAGAGTACTTCATATTTTTTAAACTCTTGTATACCTGTATAATAAATATTAAGCAGTTTTTTGACAAATATAAAATAAAACAGTTCAAAATAATTTTAATTCATATATGTATTTACAAAGTTTAACATTGAGGAGAATTTTCGAAGGATTCAGCTGCTTTTTAAAATGTCCTCAAAATAACAGTGATTTTAATAGGCAGTGTGCCTTGCAAAAATAAAGTTTTCAATGTTTTTGTTCAAACTAAATCTTAGTGCCTCAGTCATATCGAAACAGGGTGCCAGTTAATGTTTGGTATGCTTGTAACTGAACTTTTTTTTTGCTTATTTTTAGGAGCATCAATACTACAAGGATTGGCGGTGTTATTCATGTTCATAATTATAATTTCAAATTAAATAACTGAGTCTAACTTAATAAGTGCAGACTGAATAACAAAATGAAGAATCAATGTTATAACACCCAACACAATGAAATGAGCACATGTTGAACATTAGTGGTTATAATTTAGAATTAAAAAACAATATGAGTTAATCAAGATATGTTTGAATTAAATAAAAAGTTATACATCAAATTTAAAAAAATAAATACTCCTTCTGTCCCAAACTAGTTGCTACATTTGCATACTGTTGGACTGATAATTCTTATGACTTTGTTTGAGCATTTTTCAGAGATTTCAGGATGCTATGCAATCAGTAAAAAACATTTGCTTAGCAAGCTTCGCTTCTTTTCCTCCTTAAACAAGTATTAAATTAGTTTTTTAAAAAATCCAGGGTTCACACACTTTTAAACCAAGCCCAAAAGCGAAGTTAAAGGGAAAAAAAAGGTTAATAGGAAATTCGCTTAGGAAAACTGTAGAAAATTGCCATTTACAGATGACGCTTACTTATTGTGCACTACTGATGTTAATATGTTCTACTGGTATTATGGAAATTTGCGCAGTTTTGATAAGAATTCTACAATGGGTTTTCCGTAATTTCAGAAATTATTTTTTTCAGTGGTAACAAAGATAATGTATTAATATTTTAATGGATAACAATATAAAGAACTTTGTTTCTTTACTACTTATAAATATTTTAGAAGTAAATTAAAGGTCAGATAGAGAAATGATCATACTCCAAAATTCTTATCAAGTTCTAATAAGAATTCTGTTTTTTTTTTTTTTAAATTTTGGCTTTAGTTGGCTGTCACTGACAAATGTATTTTTCACAAAACTTAAATACTGAAGGGTTATGTAATATGCTCTAAATTTACTAATATAGGTGTAAAATATTAAATTGATATATTTGGTGATTATTAAGGCAGCACCAATACTTAGTAGTTTTCATACTCATACTTTGGAAAAAAGCATTTTACGGTCCTCAATGGGGATAGATACTTTAGAAAATTACTTGATAGTGCAATAGCATCAAACGAAGTGATACTAAATACATTTTATCTTTGTTCTAATGGGATAAACTACAAAAAACAGCTTTTAATAACTTCAATAACATAAAGCCATGAAAAAGGGCAACAAAAAATATTAAATAAAAAAATTGCAATTATTTCAACTATATTAATTAAAAAATTTAGTGGAAGAAAAGGTAAACCTAGGTTTATATCTAATGTTCATCTAAAGAATTCCAGCAACATTCTGCTACTGTTGGGCTTAAAAATATATATTCAATTTGAATTATGGTGTAAATAATAATAATTATAAAACATAACAAATAAATAAAATATAATAATTATTTGTTTTAACTGGAATTAGAAGAGAAAATATAATTCTTTTATACAATAAATCTGAGCTTACGCAGAAATTTATCTATAATTTATAAGATAAGTTGGTTCATTAGCGACATATTATTTAAAGAATTATTATCACATTATAATTTTGTTATATCAGTTTTATTATATCCTTTTGTTATATACTTTTGCAGCTAAACTACTAACTACTTAGTGCAAAAATGAATTTTTATAAAAATGCAGGATACTTCCTAAAATTATCATTGTCACGGTAAACTATAAAAAGGAACGCAAATAAATACTTTAATTAGAGTTGGAACAGTTGTTGATTTCTTTGTATTAAATCAAAAAGTGAAGAATCTATGGCTTACATTCTCTGTAAATCATCCTTTTAGTTAATTAATTCCTTTTTCATAATTTGTTTACAATACTATATTTAATGGTGAGTGCCCATACCTTGCAGAGATCAGGATATTGACGTTTCTGGAAATTCTGATCATGATTTTTTTCTGTGTATTCTAGGACCAACTTGGAGGCTGTGTTATGAATGGCAGTGGCAAAATGCATCAGCAGCTGATCAACAGCAGTCTAGAAAAAATAAAAAATCACTCTGTAATGATTCATTCTGGTTCATGACTGCTGCTTAGTGAGAATTTTTTTATTTCCTTTATTTTTTGTTAAATATAATTTTATTACTTTTGGAATTTTATACAAGAGGTCACACTCTAAATTAAGCAATAATCCTTTTCATGTCTTACAGTTGTGGTATGTAGTAGCTAATTTTTTAGTTATTACAATAATATACATGTTGTTGTTGCTTATCCTCTCTGTCTGACGGAGTCAAACAAGATCCACGAGTTCGTTGACTGAAAGGAAGTCGAAGATTAGGAGAGGATTGCTATAGAGATCCTCCTTAGAGAGTCCCATGTAATCCAAAAGGTGCTCAGGAGAAGCCTGATGAATTTGGCACTTGGTGCAGGTGACGAAGGTTTTCCTGCCCTCGTTGAAAGTGAGGCACTTGATGTGACCACTAGCAAGCCTTGATAGAACAGTCCGGGTACATCTGTCACACGGGAGGTCAAGGGAGAAGCTCGGTTTTGATCCCTTGTTCCAATTATGGGTTGGGGGTGTTTTCCACTAAGAGATTTTTGATTTTTCCAGGGAGTATAACTCCAGAAAAGTAAGTGTGGAAGAGGGAGTTGTTGTAATCCTGCAATGCTCCTTAGAAAGAATATCGGCCATTTCATTCCCGTGGAGATTCACATAATATATATAAATAATATATTGTACCGAGCAGTAGTTGATATGAGATGAATAAAACAGTCCTAAAGATTCCAAAAATTTATTAGCAGAATCTTCCAAAAAGTACAGCTATTTCTGGCACTCAATTACGTACAGTCTAGTACACAACAAGTCACAGGCTTTAAAATCTCAGACATTTTAATGAACTCACTAGTGACTTACAAGCAGACTAATAATCTCTCCTCTCTGTGAGACACACTCTTATTTATACAGGACAGAACTTTCAGCATAATTCTAGACAATTCTCGTATAACACCGTAAAATTTAGTCTTATCGCTTCGAAACTCTAATTTTTTTTAACTATAATTTCATCACCAAAATCGTGGCCAAATATCGCCAAGTCAAAATTTGACTAGAAAAAAAAACATTAACAAGAGGTAGGGAAAACATACATAAATCCAGTTTAAGATGAAGGATTTAGAATGATTACTTTACATCAATCGTGGTTCAGTAGAGAGCTTTTAGAAACAAGCTGAAACATAATACAAAGATAATAATTTTGGTATTATTTCTAAACTTAAAGGTTTAGCGATAAAATCAAATTATTTTGACTAGGGTGAAATTAGCAATCAACAATAGTCAATTAATTTTATTTTAATGATGAAATACACGGTAAAATAAGCTAGTATTTGGTAGACATACTTGAGTCTTTCCGAGCAAATTGTATGCTTCTTGTAATTTCTCATATTGCCCCTCATTGAAGTTGGAACAAACTTTGGAAAGGGCTACATCTAACTGCTCTTCAGTCATCACAAGAGTGTCCTGAAGTTTGCTGCTCAACTCACTGGGAAAAAAATAAAACTTCAAAATCTCTTTTTTTAACAAATATGAAGAAAAAAAAACAATATTGCATAAATATGAATTTTTATATTAAAATCTATTAACGAGTAAGTATTAGTATTGAGCCCCAAACATTAATTACCTGGTACCACATGAACAACAAACTATACATTTTTTAAATTTATTCTTCTTAAGTATTGCTTCATAATTGAATTTGCAGGGCAAAGATACTTAAAATAAATAACAAGGCAGTTAAATTATAGTTATGATTTTTTTTTTCTTTTGTAAAAATTATAATATAAACGAAACTAAAATAGCCACAGTCAAGAAAGGTAAAGATAGAACAAAAAATAAAGGCACACCTAAATGTCAGATGCATTTAAAATCTGAGGGGAAGGGCAAGGAATAGGTAAAGTATTAGATTGAAAACTAAGTTCCATCCATTTTTTAAAACTTAGTATGTAAATTTCTGGCATAATGTTTTCGATCATTCGAAATAGGATGCGTCATTCTACATGAATTTAGCTTTGGTTCAAGTCGTATGCATTTAATATAAATTTTCAAATCATGTTACTTTTCTGATTTAAAAAAAAGAGCCTTTTTGACAAGAAGAAGAAAGAATAGAATGCCCCCACACTTTAAACCTTTAAAAAAAAGTGAGAATGTACTCGTCAGTCGAATACTAAAAATGAAATGAATAAGAAAATATTTAATAAATTTTCCCCCCACCATGCAAATATATTTATTAAAAAATATCGAAAATAGACAATTTTTTCCCCCCAAAATTTATCAGTCACTGTATTTCAGAAGAGCCAAAGCATCCAGGGAAAATGCCTTCTATAACAGATGTCTTTCTAAAAATATTGCACTTTTGCATATTACAAATGATTTAGAAAATGCACACACTGATTTAAAATAAAAATTATAGTTTACCTAATGCAAGAAAAATGCTTGAATGTACTGGCAGCTTTTTGACATTCTAAACATAGTTGTATGGCACCAGAATAATCTTCTTCCTACATATTAAAAAAAGAAGCAATTTGTATAAATATGTCAACTTCATTTTTTTAAAATTATATTACAACATTCAACTATAATGATATATATATATATATATATAAATTTTTTTTTTGTACAGAAAATAAAAATTCATTTTTTAATAAAACATTTTCTACTATTTTTCAAAGAGTATTCCATAAAAAAAATTAAAAAAAGAGTCCCAAAGTAAAGATACTTTACCATACAAATTATATCTAATACAAAAAGCAAGAAGAAAGATCACTAAGGTTCCTTTGGGTCAATAAATTCACATTTACCCTAAGAAAACAAGCACTATAAGGGGGTTACATATGGCTGAATTCATCGTAAACTATTCAATTTTCTACATGGAATAATATAACAAAAATATTTTTATGTGTTTAGGTTTATAGGCAAGTAGTGATACTTATAGTTTTGAAATTTAACATCATATATAAATACATAATAAAATATTTAGCTACAAATAAAAATGGGAATAAAACTATTTTTGACTTTGAAATTTAGAGTATAATAAAATAAATCAACATCCTTACTTCCAATAGTTCTCGCAACCGTACATCTGTTTCTTCCTAAAAAATGCAACACACATTTAACAAAGTATTAAACAAATAGTTCACATAAAAGTTCATTTCGTACAGTTTAATAAATGTACTGAATCAGAGGATCCATTAATAAACTTTATTTATTGATTTTTTGTTATTCATGACAACACGAAACACTTATCAAAATGCTAAACTTACTTCCACTTTCAACATTCAAGTAGGAAACACTTCAGGATATTTTAATTAACACATAATAAAGTTATTTTCTGAAAGTGGTGCATATGAGATTGTCACATAATTCCATGATTTACATAATTCACATGGTTTACCTACCCTAAAATGTCAGAATTAAATTATCACTTAGTTAAGATTCTCAATCGTAAGAGATAACTACATATGTAAGTTTCTATATCACAAGGTGAGGGTGGAAAAAGACTTCTTATGTGAAAAATAAAAAGATTTAAACTCTGTTTAAAATTGCACAAACTGCAGGCTAGTTTTTTCATACTTATTTTATGGCTTAAGAAAGTTAAATAAGTTAAAATACGATAAATATTACTGAGTCACTAACCTAAAAAGAATTCCCAAAATTAGTATTTGATACAAACACATAGTCACATTTCTTCATAATTCAATAAAATGCTTGTAATAACACTTTTAAATTCAATTATATTTTAAAGAAACTAATATCAATGCGTATGTAACTTTAAATTATTTCCTGTAATATTTTTCATTGTCATTATAAGAAAAGTAAGATATCAATTGATAGAAATTATTGCTTTATATTAATATCTCTTATTTAAAACAAAATAAATTTCCACCTATAGTAATCCCTATTTTTAAGTTATTGAGGCATCAGACTATGTTTTTTTAGAAGGAAAATATTATTAGATATCAGATGAATTGGAAACAAAGTTTCTTAGGCGTACAAGATAATCTAAAATTCTCTTTAAAAACATTTTTGTAGCAATTCACTATTACTAATATTTTTTTTAAAAAACATTTTTTCATAAAAAAATTAAACAATGCTGAATTTTTTTAAATAAAGGAGGGACATTTATCTAATATCAAGTTAAGGTTTCAGAAATTTATGTACTAAAACAACTACATAACAATTTAATACTGAAAAATGAGCTTGTTTCTTTTAATGTTAAATATGAGAAAACTTTATTTGAAAAATCAAAAGGATTTCTGGAAATTGAAACAGATAAGAAAATCAACAACAACCATATATAATAATTGTAAACGTTAAAAAGTGAATATCTATTCAAAAAGCTTTTCTTTGAATATAAAAATATGGTAGTTATTTAAACTGAAAATAACTAATACAACGAAGAAAATCTCTATCTTAATCAAAAAATTTTGATAATTTGTTACCTTGTTAGTTTTAAAACTCTTTATGAGTTGAGCTACGTTAATTTGAAATCTAAGTTTCAGCCTAATTAACAACATTTCAGAGAAAATTTAAAAAGAACAGATTAAAATTATTATATAAAACAATAATTTAAAATCCCCTGGGTAGAATTGTGGCGACATTGTCGCAGAACATTATACAGTTCCCGTAGAACGATTTTTTTCTTTCTCCAAAATTATGTTTGAAAGATTACTTTCTTGCGAATCAAAGGGGAAAGAAAAGCTCATAATTTTACTATCCCATTAGAAAATAATGAAAAATAATGAAGTAAAAAATTTTTGTTTTCTTTTCTCCAGAAAAATTCAAACGATTTTTTATCCTTTAAAATTATATTCAAAAGAAAGCTTTCTCGCACATCCAAGTGGAAGAAAATGCTCATGACTTTTTTATCTCATTTCAGAATAATGAAAAATAAAGAATAATAAAATAAAAAAATTTAGTTTTTTTTCTCCTTAAATTAAATCAATAACGGAAAAATTCTTCATCAATTAACGAAATATAAATATTAAAAAAATAATAGTTAAAATAGTAATTTTTTAATATATAATTCCTTTTTACTTGATGAATATCTATATTAACTACTAATATAGGTTATTTATAAAAATATTTCAAAATTTTGAATTATAAACATACATTGCAAAACAAGCATATAAGATACACTAATACTTATTCTTTAAAGAATGCATGCCATTACATTTTATTCTTAACAGAACAATATGTGATTTAGGCTCACACACAATACCTACCAAAGTTTTTATCATGTAAAGAGATCGTAACAAGCACTTCAATTTTTCTCGCTTTCTATAGCTAGCCAATATTCCTAAGCTAGCAGTTGTGAAGTCTCTCTTGCTTTGAGCAAGTAAACTAAAGGAAGAAAAAACATTGCATGATTGGATTGTAGCAAGACTCAATAAAATCTTTAAACTTCTCACATAGACAGTAAAAAAATTGGGATTCATTGAATATAAAATAACAACAATTCAAATGAACTTTTAAATGGTTTATAAAAAGTGATTATGTTTTAAATGCATGAAATGATAACTAGTTACAAAACTGAGAAAATTTCGATTGCAATTACTGGTTACTCATTGGTCAAACTTTTTTTCTTAGACTTGCATAAACACCACAACATTTCAAGTCATGGGTTCATGTTAGTCCTCTTGATTCTTCAATTCCAGCAGAAATACATTTTAGATGTCATAAAATTATTTTCCTTCTTCAGCATTCATATTTATATTATTAATAATTAAGTAATTATTAATAAGTCAACATAAAAATACTTAAATTAATATTATGTTAAAAACATTAAAAATGCCATCTGGTGAAAATAAAAAGAAAACAATCATCTCCAAAAGGTTATAAAAATTATCATCTGCTTTTTTATTTCATTTAATTTTGCAGTGTTGCTTTTTATTAATGCTTATGTTAACCTGACTTTTTATGATTCTTACAACTTTTTATTTGTGATTACAGCATTGAAGTTGATCTTCTCTAATCTAGTTGAATTAAAATTTAAGTATTTTAATTAAATTTAAGTATTTTTTATCTTTTCTTTTCAATTATTTCTATGTTTTTACACATGATTTTGAGATCCCGTTATTTTAACTGTGTTATTTGTACGTTATTAGTTTTGTGTATGTTGTTTTAAAGTCATTTTAATTACTGTTATTACGTCATGCCCACAATTATTCAGCTAGTGATTATTAAATTCATAATCTGATGCTTTACTTTAGGCACACAAGATCCTCAATCAACACTAAAAGACCAGCGGTGGAGTAAACATTGGGTTGTTTGGAAAGCAATTCCATTTTTTTCCAACAGAGGACTTAATTGTAATTTTTCACAATCAAATTAACATTTAAGTCACATAGTCATTATATATTTTGAAAACTGATACAGCAAAGCTGGCTTGTGAGAAAGTACAATTAATTTTGCACACCAGTGTTTGGTTAATGATCTTTCAAATGAAGAATTGAAAAAGCAGCATTTTTAGTATATTTTACTTTTTTACGATTGTAAGGAGAAAAAATGCTGTTCAAGCAAGGAAAAAAACATTTGATACAAAAGGAGAAAATGCATTGACATTGCAGCAGTGCCAAAACTATTTTACAAAATTTCGATGGGCAATTTTGATGTTTAAGATCTGGAAAGCCAGTTCTACCACGCTCTGTAAAGTCAGTTAAAGCTGATAAACACACAAAAAATGCATTAATTTATGCAAACTGGCAAATGACAACTCTTACAATCACTGAAATTCCTCCAATTAAACTGTTAATGATAATTTCAAAAGTACAGATTTAATCTCAAAACTCGATAAATGGATTCCTCATGTTCTTACTAAAAGAAATTTGTCCATAGTGCTAAAGTCTGTGATTTGCTTCACATTACATTGCTTGAAATTACGATTTGGTGCGCTTCAAGGAAACGATTTATTCTTGAAGCACACCATCATTGAGAATGAGAAGTGAGTTACCTACAACTATGTTAAATGCAAGAGGTCATAGTGTAAAAAAGATAAAGAATCTAGATCAAAATCATGATCAGTCTTTTGCCAGCAAAGAACAAACATTTGATTCAAAAGGAATCATGCTACTGCCAAAAAGATCGTAAAAGGTATTAGACCAGAATGGAAAATATATAATTCAATGAAATATTTATTCATTATAAGAAAATAATCTTTCATTTTCATAAATTAAAAATTTTTTTGAGTAACTCATTAGTTCAACAATAATCGTATTAGACTATGAACAGATCTTAAACATTGCACTATATTGCTACGTAAATGCACTATACTAGTAACACTAAGATGCATTATAACACATAACATAAAATTACTCATCATTGAATTATGTAAGTTATTCACTAGATATACAAAAATTATTCAATTATTCACCATCTGTATACTTACTTACTTATCCTTTACATGCCTTTGGGCACTTAAGGCCTCTAGCATATCCCTCCAACGCCTCCTGTCTCTAGCAATAGATCTTGCTTCCTCCCAACCAGATATTCTACATTCTTCTAATTCGCCCAAAAACATGAGCTGGATGGTAAGTCTGGGTCTTCCTCTTGTTCTTTTACCATCAGGGGCCCATGTAAGCACGACAGATGTAATTATTTCTTTGGGCATTCTAAGGATATGTCCAAGCCTGCTCCATCTTCGTTTTTTAATTTTATCTTCTATTGTTTTTATTTTAGCTTTCTTTAATAGATTTTGACTTGGTACTTTGTAAGACCAGAAAATTTTAAAAATAAATCTTAAACATTTGTTTCGAAAGGTTTCTAATTTTTGTATTTCGATCTTAGTCTGTTTCCAGGTTTCTGCTCTAACAATCTATCTGTATACTTTTGATTTATACCAGCTGGTTATCCCCCCCCCCAACAAACTCACTATTTCAGGGCTCCACATTGCCTATACTGAATCAACAGAATTAGGATATCAAGAGCGCAAACTCACTGCTTTGATACTCCTTAAAATAATATATAGTCAGAGTACAAATTAGAAGGTAAAAAATAATTTGCTGGTGTACAAAAAATCTGAGAAGGTGTGCAAATAAAAAGAAACTTGGTTAAGAATGTCAGAATATAATTAAGAAATTTAAGTAAATTATGCATGGTTTATTTATTTTTTGCACTAAAATGAATGCTCTTTATCCTTATGAGTAAATGTTATAAATAATAATACCTTCTGCTTTCAACACATACACCACACGCTTCTTCCAAAGATTTTTGCATTTGTGTGACATGGTTTAACTCCTCGGCTAAAGCAGTCTGATTTTGCAAGATGAGTGCTGATAGTTTTTTAGAAACCTATAGATATGATTCAAATTAAAGTTTTATCATCAAGAATAATTACGAGTACACCAAAATTAGAAAAAACTTACCACGTCTAATTGCAATTTCAATTTTGCTTCTTCTGCACGGATCTCATTGATATCGGGAACATCAGAAATTTCCTAAAGAATGAACAAGTTTAATTCTGCTAAAAATATATATGTATATAGCGAAAACCGTAAGATATTTAAATGTTGGATAAAAAACTTTGAATGTATTCCAACTTTAGTTTTAAACTAAACATTTGAACCAGATTAAAAATGTTTTAAAAATACATACAGCTATTAATCTATTCACATTTATTTTAGTTATAAAAAAATAACATTTTTCAATCACTCAGTTCAATAAGACATTATAAAATATGTAAAAAATGAAAATCATAAAATAGTTGATTGTATACTTTAATACTTTTCTTTTTCTGCATATACACTAAAAACTATTAAAAAAAATTATCTATCACCCAAATCAAAAAATTTTTTGAGGATTTTATTTAGAAGGCTATCAACTATGTTTTGAACCATTATCTTAAAAGCAAGTGCATATACAACTAAGTTAGGAATCAATGTAATTAAAAAAGCAAAATTTTAAAACTTTTCACTGGTCTTTGCGAAAAAACTTAGTCTGTAGTTCAAAACATGTGTGCTATAATCATAAACACTCATGAAAAATTTTAGACAATTATTTTAAAAACAATATGAGATATTGTGCTTAAGGTGGTGAAAAAATCTAATTTTGACATCTTTTGATTCTGATTGCATTTAAAGACTTAAAATCAATAGTCTATCCACTGTCATCACCTTGCATAAAAACTGCTATAACTTTGTAAATAATTAGAATACTAACTAAACTAAAGTATTTTTAGAAAGCTAAAAATACAGGGGGTTCTAAATTTATAATAAATTCAATTTTGAAAATGCTGCCCAAAATCTGCATTAAAATTTCACAAGTATATAAATTTTCATGCAAATCTGAAAGGGTCTCTGCCATGGCTGGATGAACTGACATGGAATGACCCTACAACAGTAATTATCTATAACACTTTTGCTGCTGCAAAAAAAAACATAAACAGGAGTATTCACCTCCAAAATTGTTTCCTAAATTTTTCAAATAGCTTACCTTAAGTTTATATTGGCTTGCATCAAAATTTTCATCTGAATAAAAAACCTCTTTTATGGAGCTCAAGATATCTTGTTCAACTTCTGGATTATTCCAACTTTTAGATAGTGTTGCTTCCTGGTTAAAAGAAAAAAATATTATCCAAAATTAAGTAATAAATTACCAATATTCTGCACTAAAAAATATTACATATATTTAAGATAAATCATAATATATTTATTTATTAGCTAAGACAATACAGCGATGATAATTGGAAATTTATTGAAAAAATTTAGGGAACTGATTTGCTACGTGTCTGCACCCAATGTTTGGAAATATCTTTTTTGCCAACCTTTAGACCTGAAGTAAGCAATGACTGCCTAGCAGAGTAATTACATAGATTTGGATTATCATCTATCCCAAATTGAATTTTATGGAATACTGACTGTGTGATAAACATCTTGAAGCATATCAGATCTATGAGAAAAACTAAAAGGCTACATAAAAATTACAGCCCTTGCATTAACTTTTGAATTTGTTTAATTATTGTTTAATGCTACATGCTTATTATTACTGTATATTTTTACTTGTTTTTTGTTCCTTCACTAGTGTTTATGCTGTGTGTTTCAATCTGAAGAATGATGTATTTCAAGTGCTATTGCTGAAATAAATAAAAAATTCACATTTTTATTGGAGCTACTTTCACCTCATGCCAAAAACAGAATTAAATATTGCAACCCTATTAAATTCAATGTTCAGTAGTTCACAGTCATTTGATAACACAAAACATGCATATCATAAATAAAATAAAAAAAACAATAGCAGCAGATCTATGCCTAGTGTTATCCCTGTTTTGTTACCACTCTGCAAGTTTCATAAAAATGTAGCAATCTAAATGCACAAGACGACAATTTAACAACGACGAACATACATATTATAAAAACCATACATTAATAAACACATAAGTTATTCACCTATAAAGCATGTATTTTATTTCTTTCCATCAAAATACCTTAAAATTATGCCAATTTTTACAGCAAGCAGAAATAATAAAAACATTTAATTTTGAAATTGTTTACAAAGGCATATAAAATCCTTCCACACATAACAAATATACAGTTTTAATAAAGCAAAGTCAAAATTTCTGGGCGCTATTTAAGACAAAACATCTAAAACTAAAAATTTACACCTGAAGTGCTGGGATCTGCACATCACTTTAAATTTAGTTTAAGTGTTCAGAATCTATCCAGGCAATGTAGATCGATAAAAAAAAAAAATAAAAAAACATCCAAGTAATTCTTTAACCTTAAAAAAAACCACATAACTTTAGTGTATTCCTAGCAAATTTACACCAGGCAATCACACTTAAATTTAAAATAAACATGTATGAAAATTCCGTGCATCGTTTCAAAAGTAATATGAAAATCCAGTGCTAATCAAAACAAAAAGGGTTATTTCTTAACCTTTAAAAAAATATCACTGTACAGTAACAAATTTATACCAGACAATCGCACTTTAACTTGAAGGGGAAAAAAGTGAAGATATTAAAGGTGAAACCTTTGCTTCTTCCACTCTCCTGAGCGTTATATCAGATTTATTTGCCCAAACACAAGCATAATCCAAACACCACATTGGTGGGGAGGGGGGGGGGACAGGAGCAGGTGCATAAAAAATCAGTTTTGATCTTTGCACATCTGACACAAGGGAAGTCATTTAGCCTAAGTATAGTTGAATAAAAAGTTAAATGGGATAAGCATCTAAAGTACAGCATGTAAGCTAATTACAATAAATTAAATATTGCATAGAAACTCCCATAAAGAATAATTATTCACCTAGCAATAGCATGAGAGTTAGTAATGCTAGACAATAAAACACAATATAATTTTTAAAAAAATTCTGTCAAAAAAATCCTCTTAAAAAGTAAATTACAAATAAAAAAAAGATTAATTTTTAAAAAAATTATTTAATTTACTATTGAATCAAATACCAACCTTTGCATGAATTATTTCTTCCTCTTCAACAGGCGAATCCAGACTTCTGACATCAATGGAAGAGCGACTAGTCTGGAATACATCCAGAAATTAAGTAAAAGAAAAATTTTGCATTGTAAAATGATTTTCCCATAAGTTTTGAGAATAGCAAAATAAAATTCAATTTATATTGCTCAAAACTAAATAAATTAAGGAAATTAAAACTTCCAATTGAATTGTTATACACTATTATCATTATAACAAAAAAATGCATTGTCCTTGTGTTGATTTAAATAAACATCTTTTGTATTCATATACCTTAGAACATAACTTTGTATGCTGTTGTAAAAAAATTCTATAAAGCTAGAATCTTTTAAATATTTAACAAAGTTCAATGTACCTTATTAATTTTCAAATAAGTGCTGTTTCAAAAAGAAATAAAAAATAATTCAGTAATTAAAAGAAACATTTCAGCCTTCAGGTTCAGGGTTTTGTGAAACGAATTGCATGTCTCGTTAAGCTGCTGAGTTGGTTTTTTGCTAATGAGATAGTTGACAACTAATCTCATGCTTTGTTTTGTTTGTTTTAATGAGTAGGTAGAAGAAGTTTACTTGATGGAAGCAAAGAGTTGCTTTTTTTTATTTGTCTCTGATCTGAGCAAGTGACCAGTCCATTAGATAAATTGATGTAATAAAAAAAAATATTACGCACTTTAATTTTTAAACCTAACATTAATTGACGTTCTTCCAAGTGTTTCCTCATGCCTGGACCATTAAATAAGATTCATTTCAAAGCGCAAACTGAAGGCAAATTTATTATTTTCTATTTAGGTATAAATTTTTGATTTTTTGGCATAATCCCTGAAAATTAATAAGGGAAAAAACAAAACGAAGCAGAAGGTACCTTCCTTAGAAACAAAGACTACGACTTCAAAATGAATAGCAGAAGATGAATGATCCACAGCTCTTAGTGACTCTATATGAGCCTTTTATGTGATCATCGCATAAAAAAATACTCATTTTGTAAATTTTTAAAATTTTTTACAGAACATATGGGAAAATACATAAATGTGAGATTTTTTAGTAAGAAATCGAGATTGAAATAATGGGAAACTGGAAGATTTTATCTACAGTAAATACATCATTATAAGAAAAAATTATTTCCTGAGCTAAAAATATATGCTTTTGAGGTTATAGTATTTTGCAAATGAGAAAATTCTAGTTCTAAATTGAAAACCTCTGTGTAATGAAATCTTTGTTTAGAATAAATAAAACGTACTTGTTTTAAATTTACGAGAGATTTTATTTTCTTAGTGAAGTCCATTTTTCACATTTTAAATAGTCATCATGGAATTTTTACTTTTGCTTAAATTCCACGAACATCTAACCCAAAAAGGAATAATTTCTCTGATCTAACCATTGGATATGGAAAGTAAACTACTGTAAATATTACACAGAATAACAACATAATTTGCAAGAACGAACGTATACAAAACGGAACACCTGAAGCATACGCCCACTTCATAGGAACGAACAAATAAGTAGCGAATCTCCCAATCGATCAGAAGTAAAAGTTATCACTGCACCATATCAGAAGCTGATTGGTGAAATATATTTTCTGGCTCAAACTTAACCAATCGGGTTCTCCTTTTCTCTTAGAGGCGATTGGGTGTGCTTGAATCGCAAACAAGAAGAACGGTCCATCAAAAAAGATTCTTTCATTTACTTGATGAATACTTGCAGAAATAAGCAACTGAAATCTTTCGATTTAAACTTTTCGCGCTAATTTGTTATTTGTTTACAAAAGAGGAATACAGAGTGGTATAATATTATTTTTTATTATATTATATTATCATTCGGATCATACTAAAAAAAGTAAGAATTTTTGGGGGATATTTCCATCATCATACCTTTAAAATTTTTATTTATTTTCAAGGCTGGCGCCAAGGACTTAATTACTAGCCAGTAAATTAACCAAATTTCAAGTCTTTGCCAAGGGAAAATCTTAACAAATTTTTATGATTAATTTTTTCCCTTAGAAAACTTAAAGCTAAAATACTATAAAATTACTATAAATTACTATAAAATGAGCTGTTTTAAAAATTCAAGTCAAGTTATTTTATAGTTAGGGAGGAGTAACTGATCAATAAATGGGAAAGTGGATAAAAAATGTAGATGTTTTATCGCCTTTGAAGACAAAAAAAAAAAAAAAAAAAAAAAAAAAAAAAAAAAAAAAAAAAAAAAAGAATAGGTATTGGTTAATTTTTGATAACTTCTAAAATTATGCCTAACTTCTAACTAAAGCATTAATATAAACCTGAAGCAACATTTGATGTTTTTTTTTTAGATTCCTTTAAAAAAATATATTTCATTTTGAACATTCCTTTTCTTTTTTTTTTATTTAAAGAATTTTTCAAAAACTGTCAAAATTGTAATCATTCAGGAAAAAAGGATAACGGTAGAAGATAAATTATTTGAATAATTTAATTCTCTTTTATTAGTTTTTATACTACTCTCAGAGATTTTAACGAAATTTGGGCACGAGTTTAACACATTCATTGCCAGCCGAGTACAGATGGTTATACTTTGAAAAGGGATAATTTAGAAGGATAAAATGAAAGTTAAATTTTCTTATTTTAGCTACCTACCCCATTAAATTTTACGATAAGTTTATTTTTATAAACAATATGTCATGAGGACATATATTTTCTGGAAAAATAAATGATAATATGCATTTAGCTATCTATTAATCTACTTAATGACGCAAACTGTAAGAGAGAATTTTGTTACTCAATATCATGTGATCCGGCGACAAATGTGTTAATCTGTATTTTACGAATGTTTTTGTTTCACACTGGACTTAATGTAACACTAATTAGTTATACCACATATCTAAGTGAATTTACGATAATCAAATTAAAAAAATACAAGATTTATTTAGAAAAATTTATGTTGGAGTAATTTTCAGGATCAAGAAGAATATATATTTTTCTTTTTGGTAGAAAAAATCGTATGCCAATACTTTTGCTCAAACATAATTTGTTTCCCCCAACTTATGATTTTATCCCATTCTGCACAGTGGTGAATGAAGCACGGGCTCGGATTATTTATTTTTTTAAAATTACTTTGAGACAGTTTTATTCGTAATAGCATTAAATTTAAAAATACAACTTTGCGTATAATTTCTGATTATAAGTGGATTCAATATGGCAGATGTACATCGTAATTGACAACTTAATTAGCTTTTTTTTGAAAAATCAAAAATTTCCCAAGCACTAAGAAATTTGAATGATGCAATCAATATTGACATTTTGTACCTGGTCACCACTGCAAAAAACATTAAGAATTAAAATTCAGTCCTAAATTTAATTTATTTAAAAGCTTTTCACATTTTTTTTTAAAAAAAGGAAAGAAAATAACTTTTTATGTTATTTTAGTTTTGTATAAAATTTTAAAATCAATTTATCATATAATCTAAGACTCAGTTTTAGTATTCCAGGTGTACCCTGGAATTCCGGGCTTTCCGTATTATCCTTCTGGGTCTAAATATTAGGAGCATTGCATATATTTTTTCTGGGAATATCATGGAATTCTGTGTTTTTTTAAGACAATTGATTCTCGAACTTTTGCTAATCGAAAACTTATTATCCAAAGAAATTTTCACAGGATTCCGCAATTTAAATGTCAAAATTAAATTTTCTTAAATTCCCTTTAACAAGAATTTACATACATATTATTCTTCCGCCAATGAGCAGAAATCCAATTTGAAGTGCGCTAGAGGGCATCATGAGATTGGGAATGCGCCGGAATACACTAATATTGCAATTCTTATTCTCGCTGTTTAAATATCAAACATCGATTTAAGTATTTACTTGATTTAAAAGTTACATGTTGTAATTTGTATTCACATGATTTAAAAATCCAAAGTAGCCATTTTTTATTTACTTGTTATTAAAATCAATTTTGTGATTTGTATTCACATGAATTTAAAATCCAATGTCAAAATTTGTATTCATGCATTTTCAAAGTCCAATATTCCAATTTGTATACACGCTTTTGTAATATCAAAATCGATTTTCGTATTTTTCTGTGATTTGAAAACTATGCATTGCGATTAGTTGTTTGTATACATGTTTTTAAAATCCAATTCATATTCACAAAATTTTAAAATTCAATATATATCACGATTCATACTCATGCAATTTCAAAAATCCAACATCTAGACTTTTGTAGGAACTAAGATTTTCTTAAATTAGTTACTATAAAGGGTGATATTCTTCATTTGTAGGTAGATTAACAATAAATATTATTTCAAAAACTAATGTTAAATACAAATCATGTATATACTATATATATTGATATCTTGATATCAGTTTTTTGCACTAAAACTTTTTAGGATTTTTCACTTTGTGTCAAAATTACCCCTCGTATTCACACTCAACAATAATTATAAATATTAGTATACTAATTGTAAATGTGAATTCAACATGTGATTAGTAATAGATTGCTTGCTTAGTGTGTGATCTATTAATTAAGTTATATTAATTACAATATTTCAACAATTGTTTATATAGTTATAAAATTTAATTTTAAATTCCATTATTTTTTTCTTTCCATTGTTGCTTTATAGTTTTCCCTTTATTTAAAAGTGATGTATTAATTAGCTTGGGTATGAATACTATTATTTAAACTAGATTGTAAACATAAACTATATTACAAAAGTTTTTTAATATGAGATATATTACTTTTTGAAAAAGACCTTCCACTTGGTTGGCCGCAGGGTTGGGTTTTTTCCGTCAAAATCTGGTTTTTGACATGGCAGTGGTAAAAACTGTGTTTTTACCGGTAAAAACTGTCAAAAACCTACTGTTTTCTTTCATTTATGGCATATAGCGGATAATATATTATTTTCACATAATTGCCTTTATAAATGAATGTTGTAAATGATTGCTATTGAATTTGCAACAATATACATGTATTCTTATAGAAGGATATACATTCATACAGAAATATTGTAATATACTTATTGAATATAGTGATACTTACTTTTATCATAATAGCTTGATTTGCAAAAGATTCAAAATTTTGCACTTCTTAATTGTTAAAAATAAACAAACAATCAAAAAAGCTTGGAACTATTAATAAATTCAAGAACTAAAAAGAATTTAAAATTTGGCGTTTCTTAACTATAGAAATAAGCTCAACAAAACTTTCAAAACTTGTAACTACTAACAAACTCTAAGTCAAGAATTACTGCTATTTTGTCAAGTTAAAAACTTTTATTCAGTTGAAAAAGCACATTAAACAAAACTTAATTACAAACAAAATTACATGTTCAGTAGTCGGGGTCACTGTGCCGAAGCATACGATAGCAAGTGACTAATTTTGCGCATTTTTCATTGCTCAGTCGATTTCTAAGTTTAGTATAAATGAGTCCAAAATTCGAGAAGATTCAAAATTATTTTACCAAATACTCAAAATTATTTTACCAAAACTATGGGTTTTTGACATGACAGTAAAAACCGTCGTGTGTCAAAAACTTGCCAACCCTGGTTGGCAGAATTCTATTCTTTCTGTGATGGTTTTTTCTACTCTAGAAGTAACCTGCCATATTTCATTTGGATGCAGTAAAGGTGAAAAAATTTCTAGTAGTCTTTTAATTAAGACAGTAAACATTAATATAAAAATTCTTATTTATAATATTTTAATTTATTTAGTTTGAATACAGGAGTCTGTCCAGGACAAATTTACTACTGTTTAACAGCACCTTCACAAATTCAACTTTAGGAAGAACGGTAGTTTCACAAAATACTTTTAATAAAGCAAGTTCTAAGGTTCTCCTCTCCGCCTCTTAAAATTTTGTTTTTGTGTGACCTAGTCAAAAATGTTCTCATAATAGAAATAACTTGTAGTGCTAGTACTGTTAAATGCATGTTTTTATTAAATCCAAGGTGAAATTTAACTATGGAGAAAGATTTTTATGGATTTTTAAATTTGGATAAAATTTTAAGCCCAAAATTTTACAATATCAAAATTTATTTTGAATATATGAGAAAAAACATATAGAAGCTTACCAGTCATAAATGATTTTTATTTGTAGTGACAATTTTTGAAAATATTTTCTTACTTTACCTTATTTTTGTGTTAATTTTTTAATATATTTTTTTATTTTCACAAATTATGTCTAAATTTTCACAAAATAGGTACCTCTCAAAAAAAAAATCTAGACAGACCCCTAGAATATGATGTCTGAAAGAAAATACATACATCCTCAAGCTCTTCAGAAAATGATAGTAAAGAAAAGAAAACAAGTATCAGAGGTAAAGTTTTGTTTATTACCAGTCCCTCACTCTAAAGCGCACAATTCCTTCATGATGTTCTTCCTTAATCGAGCTTTTATATTTATCTTAAATGTGGTACTACAGATTTAAAACTACATTAAATGAATTGCAGAGTTTTACTAGAGTCACATACAATTTGAATTATTCTTTCAATATGACAAAAGAAAGTGTTGTTTTACAGCTAACCTTATTTACACTGTAAT